GGTCGACAAGTACGTTGGGTTCGCGAAGAAGAACGGATCTCGGTCGCAGTACAAGAAAGCCCTCGAATTACACCTGCCATCATGCCCGCTTTACGATTTCCTCGAGGGGAGAGTTCCCCATCCTTCGCACACCTACCTCCGATTGATAGAAATGACCGAGGCGGAGGAAAAGGAGTTTATCAACAGGGAAATCGGTGAACGACGTACGCGACTGGGTGCAAAGATTGATCAGGTTACACTAGAGGTCAAGAGGGAGGCCTTCAAACGGAGCGAGCTAGAGGAGCTTTACCGTGGAATTGTCAATTGGTCTCATGATGATGAAGTTCGGCGTACCTACGAAGAGAAGTTGTTACAGCGAGCGAACGACATTCTCTCCGTGCTACCGGCGAATGAAAAGGACGCCAAGCGAGCAGAGGTCTTCCAGGCCGCCCACGATATGGTGATCATCAAGCACCCTTATGAGCTCGCGTGGAAGATCGTGCTGGAATGGCAGGATATTCAGAACTTCTCGGAGTGGGACCGCAACTTCTTGGACGACTTTATTGAATTCTTCCCCGAAGACGGTCTCTCTAAACTGCTGAAGGGCTTCTTGGCTAGCGACTTGTCACCGTTCCCGAAAGACAAAGAGCCCAAAGAAGCTGCAAAGAAGGATGAAGAGACTGAGAACAACAATGGCGAGAGCAATGAGCTAGGTGTCCAGGATAACCTGCTCTTGATAGTGGAAGGCCTTGAAGGATCTTCGGCGTCGATCGTCGCTCACCGGGTTGTGGCCGAACTGTATCTCTCACTTGAAGAGTACGACAGCACGGTGGATGTCTGTCGCAAAGGCCTTCGCAATGTGCAGGACCTTGTCAGGAGGACTGGCATCAGCCTGCAAAACACCACGGATGCACTCAACATTATGCTCGCCAACTCGCTTATTTATTACCAGTCTCCCCGGCATCACCCCGAAGCTAAGCGAATTTTTGAAGAGATCTTGGGCAGAGAGCCGAAATCCACGAGCTGCTTGTTGGGTATTGGTCTGATTCTTAAGGTTGACGAGGATTACCCTGAAGCCGTCAATTTCCTGGAGCGTGCGCTGGAGCGAGACCCGACGAATATCAAAGTCCGCGGTGAGCTGTCGTGGTGTAGGGCACTCAACGGCGATATTGCATCTGGCTTGGAGGGACTGCAAGACGTCCTTGAAGAACTTCAGGAAGCGGAGTCCGACAATAGAGAATTCAAAGCTGAGATCCTCTATCGAGTGGGATACTGCCAGTGGGAGAATGATCCATCGCCGGCAGCGCGCAAAGACCGGACTGGAGCATACGCCAGCTTCCTCGCGTCTATCCAGTCAAACATGAATTTTGCTCCTGCCTATACGAGCCTCGGTCTTTACTATGCGGACTACAAGAAGGACAAGACCCGAGCACGTAGGTGCTTCCATAAGGCATTCGAGCTGTCAGCGTCAGAGATCGAAGCAGCTGAGCGACTTGCCAAGACATTCGCCGATCAGAGGGAATGGGATCTTGTCGAAGCCGTGTCCCAACGTGTCGTTGATTCAGGGAAGGCTAAGCCTGCCCCAGGCTCGAAGCGCAAAGGCTACAGCTGGCCCTACGCAGCTCTGGGCACAGTGCAAATCAACAAGCAACAGTACCCTAAGAGTATTGTCTCTTTCCAGGCAGCTCTCAGAATCTCTCCCAATGACTACCATTCGTGGGTCGGTCTAGGCGAGAGCTACCACCACTCTGGCAGATTCATTGCCGCCACAAAGGCGTTTGAGCACGCACAGCAGCTCGAGGACAACCTTTCCGACAAGGAGCAGATCTGGTTTGCAAGGTACATGCTGGCCAATGTCAAGCGAGAGCTCGGCGAGTACGAGGATGCTATCGCGAGATATGAAAACGTCTTGCAGGTGCGGCCTAATGAATTTGGCGTGGCGATTGCGCTGCTTCAGACGCTTACCGAGAGCTCCTGGAAGAGTCTGGACCAGGGTCTTTACAATGACTGTATTGAGCTGGCACGGAAGGCCCTACTAGTAGCCAAGTCGCTTGCTCTGGAACGGGTCGACGTTTTCAACCTATGGAAAGGAATCGGGGACGCCTGTACGCTCTTCTCCTACGTCCAGTCGAAAACGGGTAGGCTGCCGGTTGATGAGCTACGAGACCTACTTGAGACTCAGCTAGAACCTACGGCTCTGGATATCTTGACAGAAGTTGATAATGTTGGTCATGACTGTCTATCTTCGTTAACAGCGGACGATGAGACAGCCAACCGGACGAGCCAGTGCCTCTACGCTGCTATCCTGGCATACAAGCGTGCTATTCAGGTCTCCCTGCGGGACAGCCATGCCCAAGCAGTCGCCTGGTACAACCTGGGCTGGGCAGAGTACCGAGCCTACCGGTGTTTACAAACCATCTTGAACACGGAGAACAAGAAGCAGTCACGTAAGCTCTTGAAGGCAGCTATGCGATGCTTCAAGAGAGCTATTGAGCTCGAAGCCGGAAATTCGGAGTTCTGGAACGCCCTGGGAGTAGTCACCACGAGCATGAGTCCCAAGGTCGCACAGCATGCATTCGTCCGCAGTCTTCACCTCAACGACAGGAGCGCTCAAGTCTGGACGAACCTGGGAACTCTTTATCTCATCCACAATGACATTCAACTCGCTAATGAGGCTTTCACCCGGGCACAGTCCACTGACCCCGACTACTCCCCGGCCTGGGTTGGTCAAGGCTTCTTGGCTCTCTTGTTCGGAGATCCTCAAGAAGCGAGAGGCCTCTTTGAACATGCCTTTGATATCTCCACTTCATCGACCCGTTTGTCGAAGAAGCAGTATACGATGAGCTTGTTTGACCACCTCCTGTCGGATTCGTCGCTGTCGAACGAGATCTCACAACTCATTCAGCCATTTTTTGCCCTGCACCAGCTCTCCAGCCAGGACCCGTCTGACCTTCCATTCGTCCACCTTTCTGCTCTCTTGGCGGAAAGAATTGGCGAACACACCGACGCTGAAGCTAGTCTGCGGTTAGTTTGCGCAGGCATGGAAAGTGAATACGAAGTCACAGAATCCGCATCATCCCTTTCCCGATATGCACAGGCCAATGCAGACATTGCTCGTGTTCTGCTTGCGCGCCACGACTTCGAAGAAGCTGCTGAGAAGGCAGAGACAGCTCTTATGCTGTCCGGAGAGGAAGATGCCGAGAAGTTTGACCCAGAGACAAACCGCAAATTGCGCCTGTCGGCCCATTTGACAGCCGGTCTAGCACACTACTACATGAAGTCGATGGACAACGCGATTGACATGTTCCGGGACGCCCTTCAGGAAGCGGACAACGCTCCGGAGGTGGTGTGCCTCCTGGCACAGGTTCTGTGGGCCAAGGGCGGAGAAGAGGAGCGCGCTGTGGCACGCCAGCAACTATTCGACTGTGTCGAGGAGAACCCCGACCACATTGGGGCGGTCACGCTCCTAGGAGCAATTGCACTCCTTGACGCTGATGCGGATGCCATCGATGCAGTCGAGTCCGATCTGCAGAATATGATCACAAGAGACGACATTGAGATTCATGAACGCGGCAAGCTAATCAAGCTCTTGACCGCCATCTCGACCCTTGGATTCACGGACAATTCTGGCGTACCCGAGGATGTTCGACGCGTCGGCGAGGCCACAGCAGCGGTGATGAGATCGCCGTACGAACCTCAAGGCTGGGTAGAGTTAGCGTCCACCACGCAGGAACTATACCCTGCGGAGATGGCGACCAAACGGGCAGCGAGGAGTGTCCCTCCCCGCAGCAACCTGGAGGCCATCGATCTCTCCGCCGCATACGCACAGACCGGAAAGGCAAGCGACGCGCTGCGGGCGATCATGGTTGCGCCATGGAAGCAGACTGGATGGGAGGAGTTGAACCACGCGGTCTCAACGACCAGCTAGACGTGTTGTAGTTAGTTAACTGTCACACACACACACACACACATACACATGTTAGTATAGATGCATACAAGCATTAGACACACTCCATCATCCACATCCCTAACAATAAAGGAAACCAACCTACCACATAATAGACCCAGTCTACACCCCCCCATTAATCCTCGCCAACAACCTCTCCTTCCTCCCCTCCCTCCACTGCACATCCAACCCCTCAATCTTCCCTCCCAACACCACACAGGACTCCGGCGTAAGCATCACCAACCCCCTCGCAACCGTAACATCCCTCACGACGACCTTCGCCCCAATAGCCAACTTCCCCAACCCAATCCCATTGACCCTAGCAAACTCCACCCCGACGGCCCTCGTCCCCGTCGCATCCTGCAGTATCAACCGATGCGGTCCATTACTATCACCTCCACCATCCCCACCTGCTGCAGCATTATTATTATTATTCTCCGCAGCAGCAGCAGCAGCCTCACTATCCTCCCCCACATTCACCGTCCTCACGATCTCCCTCCCCCGTATCGCCTCCCCCCTTTCCACGCGCTCAATGGCCTCCACCTGGCTCCAGAGACTCGTGCCGATGTCTTCGATGTCGAGGACTTGGAGTGGGATGGGGCCGTTCAGACGGCGCTCTTGGATCGTGGGATCGAAGATGTCGACTGGGAGGAGGGTGGAGGGGTTGGTGGTGCTGAGGGAGTCGCGGATGTCGGAGGTGAGGATGCGGAAGAGGGCGGTTTGGGTGAGGGCGCTGAGGGGGATGGTGCGTGATGATGTTGATGTTGAGGCGAGGAAGGTGGTTAGCCAGGTGGGGGAGACGGGGAGGGATTTGGTGGTGAGGAGGTGGGTGGTTATTTGGGAGTGAGGGGTGGAGGTCATTGCTATCGATAGTAGGGAGTGTAGATCAATTATTAGCAGAAAGAAGGTGCATCGTTGTGAGGGGTTTTTTTCTTTTTCGTCCTGGGGAGAAATGTAGAAAGTAGCTCTGGTAGAAAATGTAAGTTTACTGTTCGTAGCTCCGATGCGGAGCGGAACGAATCCGGGGAACGGACCAGCCTGGAAGTTACTAGCTGGACCTCAACTCTCCTTATCGGGGCGATCTTTAAACCTTCCAAACTCCTTTCACGAATCACTACATAATACATACGCACCTATATCTCTACCTCACCTTTTGACAAATTGACATCCACGAAATCTTCAAATCGACATGTCCACCCTCTCCTCCCCCCGCCCCTCAATCGCCTCATCCCGCGCCCACTCTCCAACACCAACATCCTCGCACCGACCCTCCCTCGACACCCTCAACACCAACTACAACCTCAACAACCTCAGCGCCTCCTCCACTCCATCCACCGCCCGCGCCGTCTCCCCCTCCTTACACCCCCGCCGCAACCGCGCCGCCCTCCGCGACTACTACAACCTCAAACCCTCCTCCGCAGCCGATCCCAACAATGACGGGCGCCGCTCACGCAGCATCCCGCGCCACACCGACGCAGGCGACATCTCCAGCAGCAGTAGCGGTGCCGGCGGCCCATCCATACTCTCCACAACAGGAACCGAGCTCGATAGCCCGGACTTCGACCCGCAACGCTACGTCAACCAGCTCCTCGCTTCGTCGTCGCTATCGACGGTCCTGAAAGCGGAGAATACGCTTGTCGGGGATATCCGCACGTTGGACAGTGAGCGCAAAGCATTAGTGTATGATAATTACTCGAAGTTGATCAGGGCTGTTGAGACGATTGGGAAGATGAGAAGGACGATGGATGATCGGGGCGCGCCGTTGACGATGACGAAGACGCTGGGGCCCGCGATTGCGTTTGTGGCGGAGACTGCTGGGGGTTTGATTCAGGAGGGGGAGGAGCAGCAGAGGAGGATGAAAGAGGTTAGGGAGAGTGAGGGGGTGGAGAGGAGGAGGGCTGAGAAGGGGACGGTGAAGTGGGTGCTTGCGGCGCCGGGGAGGTTGGATAAGTTGTTGGAGGAGGGGAAGAAGGATGAGGCGGAGGGGGATTGGAGTGAGGTCAAGAAGTTGTTGGATAAGTGGGAGGGGGTGAAGGGGGTTAAGGAGGTTAGGGAGGCTTGTGAGAAGGTTATGGAGGGGAGGGAAGCTTGAGTTGGGAGGATCTTTATCTGAGGATTCATCAAAGGCACTGCACAAAGGTCGGGGACGGATTTGATATCCCCCATAATGCGTGAGAGTCGCCTCGTGGAAGTCACTATGGTGCACCCATGTCCAGTTGAAGGGTCATCTTCAAGTTGGATTCATAAAATGGGCCTCAGCATGGCACAAGAGGGCGCCGTGCTATCACCTATGAGCCACCTCCAGACCAACACACATGTGTCTCATCCATCAAGGCCGTCTACACAGCTCGAGCCGGTCTCTGAGCTACTACCTATCGTCTCCAAGTCACTGAGAAAGCAATATAGATTAATGAAACGATATACCCACAACATGCATACATACCACGGTTCACATCATGTCATATCCAAGCACACATCAAATGTCCAAGACACCAAGCACAACCCCAAACCCAATATCACAATCTAGTTACTTCTTCCCAAAATCCCGACTCGAGTACATACTCGCCCTCAATCCCCACACATTCCCCCCTTTAATATCCAAATGCGTATACGCATCACACTTATAATAAATCGGCCGTCCATCCAAATCCACCAACTCCAATTCCGCCATCTTCCTCAAAACCCTCTCCACATCAGCTCTATCCTCATAGTTCTTCGTATAGATACAAATCAACCTCGTCTTGTTTGAACCTCCATCACCAGCAGCAGCAGTAGCCACCTTAGCCCCGAACCCCAACTCCCCCTTCGCCGTAGCCTCCGCGACTACCCCCCACACCTCATCCACCTTCGCTGGTGAAACAAACAACATCCACTTACCCGAAACCACACCCGTTTCCCTCGCCAGAGCGAACAGCGACCTCTCCAAATCTACACGACGCTTGGTGAGTTCGCGCGTCAGCGCAGCAGGCGTCTGCGTCTTCTTCGGCTTCTTAGCGTGTTCGGCACACACCTGGGAGATCTTGTCCTCGTGCGCGCGTAGCTCGGCTGTACCATCTTTCACAAGCTTCTTAATGTCCGCTTGGGGGTTCTGATAACTGTAACTGGATATGTATATCCAGGACCCTGTGGGGGATGTGGAGAGGGTAGATGAGGGCCGTAGACGGGCGAGGAAAGATGAGATAGGTTCGTTGGGTGAGGGGCGGTTGTGTCTGATTGGGGTGGTGTCTGTGCTTGAAATAGGGACGTCGAAGTCGTGGGTCGGGATCGGGGTTGATGGGGGTTCGCTGGAGGTGAGGTCCATGGGCTCGGGTGCATCTGATGCATCGGATGACGATGAGGCCATGGCTCCTCGGGCTGCAAGGACGTTTTGCTTGATAGTATTGTAGGAATGGGGATGGATGTTTGTCCAGTAGTTGTCTGTGTCGAATTTGGACACTTCCTCTTCCAGACGTGCTGTCTCTTCCTCCGAACCTGTGGGGTTGGTTAGTTGGTGGGTTCGTTTGCGTGGAGGGGAGTACAAGCCGTAGAAACTGGATTCTTCTGATAGGTTTGGCATGGGTGCGTTGGACATCGTGATTCTAGTGTTGATGATATTTGGATACGATGAATGGATAGATAGTAAGTAGATGCACTATGAATAAGGACAGGAGATGGAGATGGGAGAGATAGATTGAATGGGGAGAGGCCTGGTTGAATGAGGCTGAAGGTGGAACAAGTGAAGGTGACTGGGGCTTGTCACTCCCACCCACCACTGCCACAGTCACTGTGCCATTTATGGGTGAATTAGTGATCTGGCGTTTGCCTATAAATTTACAACTTTCCCTCGCTCTTCTCTTCTCTTCTACTCTTCTCCATCTTCCTGGTTGGTCATATCCTCTGCAGGCATTTTATATGGACTGGACTTTCCTACTGGTTTCATTAGTGATAGACAAGCTTTGATCAACTAACGTACCCTATGAAGAAAGCAAACCTGTCTTTTGTAATCTGATCACAGCAAAGCTAGTATGATCTAGTGCTGTGCTTGATGATTCAGGACTATGGAACCTGATCCTAAATAGTGGCTTGAATTCCATGAATGACCCAAGATCATGAAAAGTTTACCTGATCATACTGATAGTCGTATCTATGAAAACAACACTTTGCAGAGATCATTTCAATCTCCATTATATCTTTCATTCTATATGTTCTCTTCAATCGAGGCCATGGTGGAGGACAACAAAGCGCATTGGCGCCCTGCTCAATAAGTCTACAGTCGTAATGCAAAATATAATGCCCTAAATCCCACGAGGACTTTCTTATTAAACTTCTCATTGAACGAGGCCTACCCTGTAGTTGCACTGAATGTGTACTACCAGCACAAATTCATTTCGGGGCGTTGCAGGCCGATAGTTGGCTGAGACACGGCTCTTCAGCAATACTTGACGATATCGAATATGCCGCCTTACAAGAACCATCAGGCTGTCACTTTTTTGCCCCATCAATGCAATGATGCGGACCCCAATACGCATGCATTTACAGAAATCAGCGGCCGCATCTATATTGATAGAAGCTACTTTCACTAGGGACAACTGACAGGAGAAAGCTTCACCCAAGAGCTAATCTAGAGCACCAGACACTGTGGGTCGAATGAGAAGCTATGTCATCATGGCTAGGCTTCAGGTCTACTACCGCATGACAGACGAGGAAGATATGTATAGCCTGCTAAATTTGAGTTCAAGGCTCTTTCTGAGAAGCCATGATAATGAATAAGCTTACCTGCGGAGACAAGGCAGGAAACTCAACTAGTATTCTACAAGCTGGCTAACCATTACTGCACATTGAGTTTGCACTAACAAGGGCCCAGGAGGTTTCTAGGATGCGATACTTTCCATTATGCAGCACGTCGCCTTTCTAAGTGGGTAGGTTGTCGGACCAGGAATGACATGCGCTGGTGTCTATCCCACTCAAATTCAACTCCAGTCAATTAATTCTTCGGCGAAGCCCTGTCACTATTCCACCAGTATATGAAAAACATCAGCAAAAAAGGAGCATTGTACGCCCTGCGTTTTAGGGCTCGAATGCAGTGGATGGGTCCAGATCATTGATCCATGCGGGAAATGTTTTACCTCGAAGATACAGGGACAGCGCTACGAACAAAAGGTAGTATGTCGGGGTATTACACTGTCATCATCATTCTTCCCTCCACCTGCTATATGCCAAGTTCGGAGCAGACTCAACGCGAAAGGGTTGGTGCATGGTGCGCCTTGACGAGAACTACAAGTAGGAGTAAGTTGAACTCCTATCGACTGTCTCCAGAGGTGACTGTGGAATAACACCCAAAAAACACTCCTGGAAGCAGTTGGCTCGCTTTAAGAGACCACTTGCGATTGCAGACTAGCATACAATGACAGCGACAACCTAAATGTTATGAAGCAGGATATGCCTGCTGACGTATAGTAACCATACAGGGTCAACAGGTAACAGAGCCCTAGTATACCAACAAGACAACAGGAAAACTCGTCTTTACCCATGCAAGTTGTTAAAAAGTCACTCACTCTATAACTTCAACTGCTGTTCGGCAGGCTATGTTGCACTTAAAGAATGGACCACAAGCAATAGAGACTGGCGATTGGAAGCAGACAAGCTCTGCAAGCTTGAACTTCTGCTTGTCGCTTGCCCTGATAATTAATCTGGTATATAGTGACCGGGTACGCATAACAATGACCGAATTCTATCCGATGCTGAGGACACGCAGGATTGCCCCGATCTATGACAGACATTGGCCCTGCTGTCGGGAGCTAAAGATCGAGCTTCTCCTCATGTCTGTTCCTGACTGAATGGCTCCCAGTCAACAAAGCCTTGAAGCGAACGTGACTTTCGGAAGACCCAAGTAATCTTGGGAAAGTCGTTCAACTCGGGGGGTTGGAAGAGATGAACATTGTTGCGTGATATGAAGGCCGGTCTGGTTTTTCTATGTTTCGTTGGCCTAAGAACTTACCCGAGTATCAAAGACTTCACTCTAGGAACAGCAAATGGTGCTTACTAGCCGTACAATTTGACCTCATGCCTTATTAATTATCTGACAATATTGTGCCTGTTCCCGTCCCAGTTGCCGCGTAACCTCTTGCGCCTCGTCTTGTGTTGGTGCTTCGTCATTATGTCGTCTTCTCCGACCAACCCTTTCGATCGTGTTTACCACGTTCTTCAGCTCTTCAGTTTGCCCGAAGACCCGTCGCAGGCCCAGGTAAACGCGCTTGCGCCCTGGAACCTTGCTGATCGTCGTGATAACTTGCAACTGGAGCACAATGCCGAGTCGGCTCGCGTGCATCCTCGTCCTTTGAAGCCGGAGTATGCGGCGCTCCTCGAACGCTACTTCAGATAAAGCATGGAAGCTCACAAATGAGTTACAAAATTATCGTTGTCTCATAAGTCGTAATAGCCGCTGCTTCATAAAAGTGACGTGTGCAGGTATCCAGGTATTGCCATCAATCCTGGCAATATAGTTCAAGATGCCTATGTCACTCTTCTATATAAGCACTAGCATAGTCTAGTATTTGCTGTCGAACCCGGCTACCTGCAAACATGCGTCCGGGTAGTATCTGAAGCAGATGCAGAAACCTCTTTGCCCCCTTTACTTACTATATTGGATCAGGAAACTAATACTCCTCTTCTGCTCGGAGTCGAAAGAACCACTCAAGTGGGTTGTGCCCTTCAAGAAGAGAAGCTACATTATGATATCTGACATCAAAGTTGACGACTCACATAGGTTATCCACAAGGCCGTTTTTCTCGCCGGGAGTTTCTCAAGGCCTGGTTCCCGCATAAGCAACCGCCTGGAGATGAAGAAGCTCAAAAAGGCGCACAAAGGCATCTCGAAAATGTCGAAGCGAGATTATACCTTTTAGTAAATTCCATCCAAAGAGGAAACTCATGGCGTTATTCGTGAAGTTGCTTGGGCCCACTGTGGCTGGAAAACATGGAGTACTTACCTCTATTCATCGCTGACCACGCTTGAAGCCCAAATACCTGGTCAAAGCCAGCAGCCATTCGATAGAGAATATACAAAGATAAATCTTAATGAGCGAGCTTCAAGTGCAGCATCTAGCGATGAAGCTAAAGGCCAACCCTGCGGTCTACGCGTGGAGCTGTTCTCCCAAACCGGGGATACCACAGACTTATTGAGCTACAAATCAACGCTCGGTGGATGTCTGTTCCTGGTGCGTATCAGGAGATAGACTTCGACTGGCATACCGATAGCTATTAGCAGCAATGTAATCTCATATTCGCATTGAAGAAGACACACCCTGGTTTATAGCAAGGGCTAACATCTCTGCTCTGCGATTCGGATGTCACGGGCTGTTCGGGGACTTCCCCGTGCTAAGAGTCTAGATCAAGCATCAAAGAAAAGGGAGATAACTAACTTATATCAAGGCATGCCATATTAGTCATACAGATTGACATGGCACAATAGAACTACAGAAAAAAACTTAACCATCCACGACTAACTTCGCAGGTAGATCCAGTTTGCCCTTAGGACGATTGCCAATCCAACAGCAGGTGAGATTAAACCGCGCTCCGCCTTGATGGAATAATGGCTTCGACGAGTTCTCAAGAAAAAGGATTTATCAAAGCTGAACTTCTAATTAGAGCTGGTGGGTTTAAAATGTCACGATCTTCAGCAGAGACATCTGAAGGCTACTTTAGAAGAGCAGAAAGAGCTAAACACTTTCCGCTCGAAGTGGAAAGAGGCAGCAGTTCTCCAGGGAAGCTAATCTTTGGACGGAGAATTGATCACTCTCGCAAGGATCTAGGTTATAAGGTTCCTATCAATCTGAGATGGAATAGTCATGGTCGTTTCCTGCTCGATATTGCATCTCTTTCACCAATTATTGCATATTCCAAGTCCACATCGATTCTGCTTGTGATACAAGTAGTGGAAATGACAGTGACTATATTGTGTATCCCAAGTATACCTTCAAACACAGTCCGATGCCGAAGACACTGTTTCCTATCAAGGCGCTTCAGTATGGCCAATAATGACGAACCGACCAGGTAGCAAAGTGCTTCGAAAACAATTTTACTACGCCTGCCATATTTTGGCATTTCTTCGCTGTTGAAAAGGATATACTGGACTATGGCAACTCGCGTGAGCTGGGCAAGTGGTATCTCAAATGTATGTTATCTAAGGTCTGGTTGGTGTAAGTAATTATTCCTACCAAATGAACTAGGGTACTTTGAGGTGAAGCTATGGGACGACATTGCTGAGACAGGTGACTGACGACTGGCTGATGATAAAGGTGTTGTGTTCACCTCGTATACTTGGAATACATGCCTACATGATCTGAATCATTAACATATGCTGTTTGAAGTCATATGCGTTGACTATACCGCACAGAGACCTCTCGAGCGAGTCTAAGCAGGGTTTCACAGTATGTATAGTATGTTTAATGATCACAAACACTAGGTCTACAAGGCAGCATAGAAAGCCTACTCCAGTGGATGGTCTGAATGGAAATACCAGTTTAGATGAATAACTCGTAAAATTGAAACAAGATTCGCTTTCGTCCAAAGTCCCATAACATGTAGCTCAGCCTGCACTGTGCCGTCATCAAGGCAACAGGCAAAAGAATGAATGGTCCAACCGTGATGAAAAAGGATGTTGCGCTTCTGAAGGCTCTCGACTATGGTCGTGACTAGTGAGAGGGCAATCTATCCTTGAATGATACATACAACTCGAATGGTAGAAATGTAGAATAAACATAGGCTACTAGTGCAGCCTTGTGGGTAAAGAGTGGCCATTCTTTTAGTAAATCTGAGTTCCCAGTCCTTAAATCCGCTAAAAAAAAACCAACGCCAATTGAAACGAGTGTCCGAAAACAAATCCAAACAGACTCGACATTTCATCTGCAGCACAAGTGAGCTACCTAAAACGGTGGCATCTGCGTTTGGTTGAACATGTACATGCTCTCATCCGGAAAGTTGTTGTTGTTGTTGCCATTGGCAGCAGTGTCGAAGAGCATGCTGTTCATGATGGAGTCATCGTAAAAAGCTCCAATGGAGCTAAAGTCCATCTGGCCAGGCTGGTACATATGCTCACCGTACCCGAAGGAGGCGTCCTCGAAAAAGTCTGTCGTTCCCTTGAGAGGGGCAAAGTCATTGTCGGTATACAAGACGCAGTCTTCGTGCTTCAGCTGGGAGTACGGGTCCTGCAGCGGCAACATCGGGTTTTGCGAATAGTTGTTGACAAATCCCGGGGATTGGAGAGGGCCCGTTGCCGGTGTGCTGAGCTGAGCGGGACTGACTTGGGGTGGGCTCATTTGAACCGAGCTGCCCTGATCCGGGCTCATCTGAAGGGAGAGCATTTCGGCAGGGCTGGCACGGTCGGGGGTCATTTGGAGTGGACTCATATGGTCCGGGCTCAGTTGGAGAGGGCTCATATGGTCAGCATTCATCTGCAGCAAGTTGACCTGGTCCGGAGTCATCTGCAAAGAGCTGATATCCGAAGCCATTTGGAGAGAAGCCAACTGAGCGGGGGCCAGCTGAACAGGGCTGACTTGGTCAGGGCTCATGTGCAGTGGGCTTGAATGAGCCGTGCTGTCTTCAGCTGGACTGGCGCGAGCCGAAGTAGCCCGCCGCTTAGCATTGCGTCCATTGTTCTTGGCACGCACATAGTTCCAACCGTGAGCCTTCTCCATGTGCTGCTTGCAGTTACTCTCTCTCTTCGATTTGTATGCGCAGCCGTTGAACGTGCAGGCGTACATGCGGGGAGTGGTCGAATGACGATCGTTGACGTGACGCTCGTTCTCCTTCTCGGTAGGCCATCCAAGTTCGTGGTACTTGCATCCTTCAAAGGGGCACTTGAATGGACGCGAGTGCGTTTTCTCATGTTTCCTGTAGAACCGTCAGTAGCCGTATAAATTGACTCCACACGAATACTTACGTCAAATCACAAGGTCTCTGGAAGATCTTGTCACAGTGAGAGCACTTGGTGTTGATGTTCATGGGGGGAGCGTTCTTCTTGCGACGAGCCATAGACCGCCTAGCTCCCTCGTCCGCTTCATTCAGACTAAGTGTACGCTTCACCAAGGGTGGAGCGTGGGCATCATAAGCCTCACCAGTCTGCATAGAGACCGCCTGGCCTTCCTTTTGTGCGACGAGCTCAAGAGGACGTCCAGTTTGGCTCATGCCGCCCTCCAGGGTCAATTTGAGCTCACTGAACTGGTCAGTTTCTGGTCTCTGCCTATTGTGTAGGGGGTAAACATACGATGCCTCTTTCTTGTTCTTGCGAGCCTCGTCCCGCATGGCCTTGAAACGGTGGACCTGGGCAGTGAGGTCGAGAAAGTACGAGTTGCTGTAGCTCTTATCCGTAGGGATACACAGGTCCCGGGGGTCCAGGTGAGTGTACGTCTCACTCAGACACAAGATAGTAGAACTGCAGAACTGGTAGTAAGAGCCAACCTCCGCTTCCACGTCCTGCGAATTTGTAAGTGGCATGCAAATTGATGCTAGAGTTCGAATTGTGCTTACAGCAGCTCCGTGGAGGAGAGACTTCTCAAGATCACGAAGAGTACCAATCTGCTTCTTCTCGATCTGCTCGCGAGCGCTCTCGACAAGGTGATGGAAGGGCTTGCAAAACTCCTGCCCGAGTAGGGGGGTGAGGATTCGCTTTTCAATCTCCTCGCTTGCGCTGAGGCTGAGATTATGCTTCGAAGCAGATTCCGGCTCAACAGCCATTAAAGAGCTAGTGATAGCCGACTGTGTGCGCGTGACTGTCTTTGAGCGGCTCTCTTTGGCTGCAGGCAAAATTAGATTATAATGCATGTCAGGAGCCTGTAGCAATGATAGCTCACCTTGGCGTGCGGATGCGGTCTCACAGCTGCTGATTGATGTTCCTAGACCACTATCAGAATGGTGGCAGTGCACCTTCCTGACCTTGGTCTGCGAATCCTTCCTCGAGGGGCCTCTGCGTAGATCGTGATGGAAGGAATCTCCTTTGCCGGATTGTGAGCGCTCGAGGTGAATTTCAAGATAACCCCTGGGAACTGGAAGGCCGTCGCGCTCTTGTCGAGGCGCTGAGTCGCTAGAATCTAGGTCGAAGCGACTCAAAAGTTTGCTCATACGTTGCTGACCGGCGAGAATGGCTTGAAGGGCGGCAGGGGAGGTCGAGGAGCGACGAGGTGAGCAGGCTAGGTCCGCGAGGGGATCCTCATCATCGGACGAAGAGGGGCTTTTCGAGTGAAATGTTTGATTCTTCTTCAACTGATAGCGCGAGCGCGATGCATGAACGTCTGCTGTGGAGGCGAGCGATGGAGGTCGTGAAACATGACGTCCCCGGCGAGGGTTTTGAGACTTCATGGCGTCTGGATTCCGAATGGTATTCATGTTGGGCGAGTAGCGGAGCAGTGGTCCAAGGCACGTTACTGAGTATGGCGCACCCCTCTTGCCGCGGTGACTCACTTGTCCGGTATGTTTGCGGATAAGAACTTGGGAGATCGATGAATGTACACTGTTGATGCGGCTCTAATGACGTACGGTGCTGGCGGTGGGCTGATTCGAAGAGATAGAGAGTTAGTTGGTTTTGGGACGGTCCAGGAGAAGGGAAAGGGGGTAAGTGATGGAGCTGGGGCTGAAAGTCGGAGGAACTCACTAGGACTGGGGCTCAAGGGTTGTGGTTCTGACCGACGATGGTATTTCGAGGATCACGACTCAAGGTGAAGGGAGAAGGGGGTGACGGGAGGCCCCGGGCGGCTTATGGTGAAAACAATCAACACCCCTTACGATGAAAACAAGCAACGAGAATAGATCTAGGCTTATGAATGGCCTAAAACGGACGCTATACAGGAGGGTTTGGGGGGAAGGTGAATAATGAATACGGATAGCGGAGAAGATAGAACGTGGAAGGAAAAGGATGGGGTCAAGTATGGATCATGGCACTTGGAAGGTAAGGGAGACTGAGGCTGTTCATCCGGGCTGAGTCGTCTTCGATGTCTGCCTGATAGACGAGTTGCGCTAGCCTAATCTAGGGATAGTCGAAGAGTAATACAAAATTCCATTGGATGGACCATCTCGCATTGCCCCATCGGGGACGATTCTCTTCGACGGCCAAGACGGTAATTCGTTTACACGCTTTGCGCCGGAGGTTGGTGTGTAAGTTACGGGCGGATGGTAATATATCCGTGGTCGGGGCCGTTATCTCCCGTTCTCCGCTTCATCCGGGTCCCGCTCTCACCAGGGCTGGCCAATGATAGCGCAGCTTAATTCCAACTTGAGTGGGGGCTCATACCGGGACTGCCGAAAATAGAGACCAACGGGGTCAATAGAACTAGTAGTAACAGTATCCATACGCTCCAGAACCTCGGAGGAACTTTGGGCAATTTTAAACTTTGTCCTTGACTTGCTGTCCTTTTCCTTCGAGATCTCGTAGTCGTATGGGTTGTTCCTCCGTAGTAAAATGGTCGATGTTTATTCGGGGGGCTTCCGCGCCAAAGAACCCAATTTATCAACACCTACAACAGATGTATCTCAGCAACAGCACTTCATCTATTTACTAATCGCGCAAACTGTCATCCGCCAACACGATACCCGTTGAGAGCCAATCAGAATTCCGGTCTCCGCTTACTGTTATCATATGATACAGTACCACTGCCCGCCTCCGGGAGTAACTAAGTACTAACTAGGTAATAAACTCGGACTACGAAAGACCTACCTACTTGGGTAACCAACCCCAAAGAGCTAAGAAAGGGACAACACCAACATGGCCGAGCTTTGCACTGACCTTGGCCGTGGAGGACCGAACCGCGGAGGTCGCTGATGCCATTGGATCTGTCTTTCATGACAGGCTGATCTTTTCTGAGCCAATCCCCAGCCGCCTCGTAGCCACCCACGTAGCCTGTGTTGAATCTGATGCACCCAACTTTCGCAGACCAGCCTCAGCATTCGTAGATCCTTGTGCTTCCCTTCTCACTACGAAGTACATTGGAGAATATGAGCCTCATTGTTATGACGATGAGGTGCATGGCAACCCCCTCCAATGCCAACAACATCTCAGTGATTGGAGGGTCTCTAACCACTTGCAGCAGGGCAACAGCCAATGACCATGAAAAGAGTCGCTTTCCTAACTGTTCCGCTGACGCGTGGGAGTCAATCTCTTCCTCGCCCTACATAAACTGTCGCAGACTGGATTATTTGTGTGACAGGCCTCCGTATTTTTTTTTTTTTTTTTCTCATTGCTTTGTCATTCCCCGACCGGGACGCCCTTGAATACGAGGCTAGTAGCTGGAAAACTCGGCAATCCCAAAGTGAGACATTATCAGACCAGGGAGGACAGACCATTAAGAGGACCATTAGAACAAAGTGGGGTTAATTCTGGAGCCCAGCGACCTTGAATCTGCTTTGTACTTCCAGTCTGAAGTACCAAGTCGTGCATGTCACAGCTTCTTGATGTCTGCTGCGCCACAATCAGGACCAAGATATGAGGCCCCAAAACCTGTCATGTCTTTGCTTCTTCCCTTCTATGACCAACAGAATGTCGAGCTCTGCAAGCACTAAACTAAATGTGGGATGGGCGTTTATTCTACCCGTTTCTATATATTATATTATGGTGCTCCTGCCGCCGTCGAAGGCAGCACAATTCTGATGGAACATGGACGGGATCCCCCTGTCGGTCGTTGAGAGTTGAAACTGTCTATTGAACATTCACTAGTTGCAGGTACTATACATAGCAGACTACCTGGTTGTAGTCGGAGCTTTTTTTAGCAGGCTCATCAATTGGCCTGTCTCGTGGTTTATTTGATGATCTTCTCACCACTTTGGGCTCATTGCAGTTCACGTCAACTATCTGGCGTCAAAGTGCAGGAACATTGTTCTAGAAACTGAACGGCTGCACCTTCATTCACCCACCTACTGGTGAGACGTGTCCTGTCTCGCGGTAACCAACAGGTACCAGAATTTATTTGCCTGTCACTCCCCTCCGATGTAGATCCATTCATCTGTGTGTGAAGCGCCATCTTACCTAAGACTACCTACTTCTAAGGGGCTGTTCCTGGACGTCTCTGCTTCAGTGAAAGTAATCAGGGGTTCAATATCCTGGTAATAGGGCCAGAATGAATGTAGAAGGGGCTGGCTTAGTGATGTGGAACGTGGGTTTAGAAATCCTCAGAATCTGGACCCAAGCGGAAATTGTTTCTGTGACAATGCCGATACCTTCACACTTGCTCATTCATTCACTGGAAAAAGCCACCCAGTATCTCAATACTGTACATTATTGTCGACCCGCAACTTCCCCATTAGCGAAAATTATAGTATTTTTGAGGCTGTCTCAAAACATCCACTTTACCATCAATATGCTAGTCCGGATTCCCTCTAGACTTCCGTTGGCAAACATTGGGTCATAGCTTGTCTCGGTGCAACACGATCTAGATACTAACTTCAAGGCGAGCATTAATGGAACCCCTTATTCGCTTTGGCTAGCTCCCTAAGACGCACTCTTACCCGCTATGGTTTCCAAGCATCCTGCCCAACCCCTCCTAGGACTAATATGAACAATACAATGGACTCCCACTTTGATCTACAAGAAGAAAGCAAGACCTTGCATCTTTCTACACTTGTCGTCGGCATATTTAGTCCTCTCTCGTGGAAGATTCCGCGATCAGGGGGTCTCGGGACTAATTCGGACACTAGGGGAATTTGACTCTACGCTACTATCCTAGGAGCTTCCCTGAGAAAGGCTTGCAAAAACTTTGACAGCACACTTGCTGCAAAAGGAAAAGTATATGATCGTCTCTTTGATTTGGGTATCAACTGATCTTTGTTTACTAATTTGAAGCTAGTTCATCCAGATCGGCAATGGAGAGGGTAGTTACTAGCACAGGTTCGTTTGTATGAGGCTTTTCTGATCAAAAGAAACGACATCCGTGTTGGCCAAGCCAGCTACTGCAAGACCCTAGTACCAGGGAGAGAAGAAGGGGCTAACGCGGTCCGTTCTAGATCTGAAGATGGTATTATTGAGCGAATGGCTGATAGTGCAGCGGTCTACAGTAGGTAATCACACGATGACCCGGCCTGGACGGAGGGTGGGTGTTGTGTTTGCTTCTTCGATGCTGTCGCCAATACTTCAACCAACTACGATCAAGAAGGCAATCCCGATCACGACTGCGGCGAGGGACATTCCCACCTCCGTGGACCTTAATAGCACAGCATGTAAAAGCACAGCTGATTCCGCGAGCCTCGATCTGGTCGCATATGCTGTCTCGAACATGAGGCTCCACGCTTTGTGCATCACATATCACCAAATATAGGGCGAGTATCCTCCAGGTCGATCTTGGAATGTAGCCGCATAGCTGAACCGCTTCACTCCGTGTCTAAGCGAGTCTTGCATTGAAATCTAGGGGCAACCAATAATCCGTCTGGTGTTCGTCGGGTCCGCATGTCGGTTACACAGCAAATGTCGGTCAGTCCTAGGGATGGCTGGATCTTCGTATTAATCGACGCATATCGGGCAGATGGCCATCATTGATACATGCTCCCACGATTTACTTTCAAGGGCGCACCCGGCGCAATGGTTCGATTGCGGATATGGTCGCACGGAATGCAGAAAAATGGCCCGGCTACCAGTCGTGCGGCTCCTGGGTTCCGGGGTCATCCTCGAAACACGGAGTTCAGCTTTCCACTGATGTTTCAATTTTTGCTTTGGGAAACCGCACAAGAACAGTAGTGACAAAGAGCTCGCTCCCAAAAGTCGGAGGCGAGGAGCCTCTTTGCAACCCACATATACAATATTCACCCAAAGTCTTCAAAGATGGTTGATAAACTCCGAGTGAGTGCAAATGTGAAACATCGGCTAACCTTCTTTGTCACATACCGCAGGACTTGGTTCGTATGGTTGGATACATGATAACATTTCAGGTCTTTTAAGGTGGGTACTTGAGTAAAGCACAGCACCATAGTACAAATATGGCCATAAGAGGTGATTTGGAAGCCATCTTGTTATATACAATTCATAAGTAGGGTCATACAGATACAGCTTCTGACGACAAAGCTTAATCATGCACTGCATTATTCATTCTGTCCTATGCTACAAGGAAAACTTTTGCCAAAAGGTTCAACAATCTGCCATCTTTGCTCCAGAGATCAAGACAGCTTATCGGATATATAAATGCTTTCAAGGCCTATGAGATTCCCGGGTCATGCACGGTACTATTGGGGGCCCGGGATACATAAAATGCACTTCGTATCCAACTCAAATTGTCTAACCTGAATGCTTGGTCAGTAACCCATCTGTCCAGTGTCACTCTGCTCCTTAAAATCATTCATTGGTCATCATCGTTGTGGGTTTGCTGAGTTCAGCGGCAGAAGATCGTAGTTTTAGCTGACGTATCAACAGCAGATGCTGTCTTGCCGCTTACTACAAAATCAGTAGCCAACGATACAGCTACTTGTCTTTCAAATATGAAACCTACTAAGGTGTGTCTGGATTTGCTCTTTTGAGAGCTAGTCATGCTGACTAGATATCAGCAGTCTCGCGATACGAGCGCCATCAACCCGCAATGTACTTTGCCTGCCTAACATGACTGAAGCCATTGGCATCCCACTCATCTCGAAGTTTTTTGTTTGCCGTCGTGCCTCGTAGGCATGTCTCGGACTTAATTCAGGGCCCGATTATGTGGACCAAGGATGCTCATAACCTTACGTCAGTCTGTATCAGTGTATGTGTACCCTGTCTGATCATAGTGAGCTCGAGAGTCTTGCGAAGGCTGCCTGAGACCTTCGTATTCTCTGTTCCCTACCATGCCTCTGTCCCAATCTCTGGGTTCGGAGTTAACCACATGATTCCACCTTAGATTATCCCGAGCCTTCTGAGAACCCTAGGATATTGAACCAGGATTGGAGATTCAGTTCAAACCAGTGATTCCACACATTACGAACTGGGCAGCACCCGACGTCCAATATATAGAACTTATCGAATAGTCTACTACCATATCCGATCCCGCTTGTTCTGTTAAACGCAAGCCACAACATTGTTCCAGGGAATGTCCCTTCGAACATCCAAACGAACTCGTAGCTTAGTGGTCCAGATCCGTATGAACAAGCAAAGCTACTCGTTATTGAGTTGCCTCATTGTCAAGGATCTTTGCTGTAGCATGACGCCCGCTCAGTTTTGTTAAGGATGTATCTCACTCTTGCTTTTCTCAAATAGTAGACACCATCCGTTCTATGGCGTACAAGTTCACTTCTATAGTGGTAAGTCTTGAAGTCTTCGCTAAAGCCTAGAGGACCGTTCAAAATGTATCTCCAGACCTACCTTATTGCTATTATCACTTACTTCGGATTTCCATCCTTTCATGGATCTCAACAACCCTCGTTGCAATACCCATTGCAGCTCGATAATGCAGATCTTACGCCGCCTGCTCCCAAAGACCTCTCTTTCATACCCCCTGGTGCCGCGGAAGAGACCCTTGGCGAGCCTTTTAGGTGTCAGTATCCTTCCATGGCAGCTGATTATACCTACAACCCTACGCCGGAGAACCGAAGCATCTGGCTCAAGCATCGGACCAATTCTTCGCTGGACTTTGACATAAACACGGACTATGAAACGAGATGGCCTGCTGGGATTGAACGCAAAGTATGTTCAATTGGACCCAGCTCCACTGAAGTACACTACCAAGATTAACAACAAGGCCTAGTACATCCTCACAGTGGGCGAACGATCGTTGAACCTGGATGGAATTGAATTCCCCTACGCCAAGGTCTTCAATAATAGCTATCCTGGGCCTTGGATCCGTAAGTGCCGCCTTGTCCATGATATGTTAGACCAATGCTCACGAGACTAGAAGCATGCTGGGGTGACTGGATAAGTGAGTTGTATGCATATCTTGCCTTGGCCCACGCTGACAGCAATAGACATCACCGTCAAAAACAATCTCAGGAGAAACGGGACCGCAATCCATATGCACGGACTCCGGATGCTAAGCAATGGTCTCATGGATGGTGTGCCTGGGGTAACTCAATGTCCCATCGCACCTGGAGACACCTTCAACTATATGTTCAATACAACCCAGTATGGCACAACATGGTACCATAGTCACTACAGTCTTCAGTATTCTGATGGCGTGTTGGGTCCATTGACCATCCACGGACCGACATCGGCAAACTTCGACAAAGCCATTGATCCCATCATCTTCACGGACCACAACCACCAAAGCGCCTTCCAGTTGTACTATCAAGAGCAGTTTGCGAACAATTCGACCCGAGTTCCACCGAAGCAGACGAGTATCCTGCTTAATGGACATGGTAAGTCATAGAGATCTTGTCCTCCTTTGACGCAGTATCTTGTCTTAACGCAGTATAGGAAGCTATGCTGGTTCTTTTCCGGAGAGAAGATACCACAAGAAGGTTCAACCTGTAGGCAACTACCCCTATCATTTGTCACATTTACTCAAGACTAACTGATACTCAGGGCAAAAAATATATTCTCAGACTTATCAATGGGTCAACCGATACGACCTTTATCTTCAGCATTGATGGTCACAACCTCACAGTGGTCGGCATGGATCTAGTACCGGTCCAACCCTACACGACAGACCATATATATGTTGGAATAGGTATGTCTTCACCAACTGTAGTTAAAGCCGTAGCACATCCTAACAGAGCCCAGGCCAGAGATACCATATCCTCCTCGAGACCAAAACCGACTTCAGTGACTCCATGAACATGGCATACTGGATCCGAACCGATCCCGCCACCGGGTGCCACAACTTCGAAACCATCCCAGATGCCAGACAGGGTATCCTCTGGTATGGAGGCAGCTCACATCCACCGATTCCGACAACGAACGCACACGCATACAACAACACTTGCAGTGACATGTTAGACTTGGTGCCGGTTGTCCCGTGGACAATAGAAGAGCCACCTCCCATCATCCCAATGGTACGATACACCATGGCACAGTCGTCTATAGAGACAATGAGCGTTACCATTGGCCAATGGAATCTCTCAGCGGTGGGAGATGACCCCGAGGTGACTGTCAACTTCTGGCAGTTCCTGAACGATACTCTTTGGGTGAACTACGCGGAGCCAACAGTCAATCACCTCGATCCTCCATATAACAGTAGTGCTGTCATCTACTTAGCTGCTGAGGCTCAGCCCGCGCAGACCACATGGAATTACATGCTGATAATCGGTGGTAACATCGTCGCTACGCCCCCAGTAACTGGAGGCAATTTGGCACCCAACGCACATCCAGTAAGCTTTTCTCCCCACCCCCCTTGTTGCAATACCCAAGTCGCAGCATCCTTTAACTTGTGTCACCTAAGATCCATCTCCACGGCCACGACTTCGCCGTCCTACAATACTCCACCGACAAGTACAACAGCAGCGAAGACCTAGACCTAAATCTGGAGAACCCACGGCGTCGCGACGCCGTCCTTCTCCCACAGAATGGCTTTATTGTGATTGCATTCAAAACCGACAATCCAGGCTCCTGGACTCTACATTGCCATATTGCATGGCATGCTTCTGCGGGTTTGGCTTTCCAGGTCCTGGAAGAGCAGCCGGCTTTCAAGGCGGGTATTGAAGACTCTACTGTTGCGAGAATTCAATTGGATCGGACGTGTCAGAACTGGGATGTTTGGTTTGCGAATGCTTCGAATCATTGGAATCCAAATGGGAGATTTCAGGATGATTCGGGGATTTGAGGTCTGTGTTTGGGGAGGATAATTGTTGGGAGTCAATAAACGTGACTGGTGCTAGCAGCAGCGAAAGCAACGTGGCTTCATTTCTGTTGTCAGAGTTGTGCTATAGTAGTACGTTCTGGTGATGGCAATATTATAGTAGTATCTTGTTCTTGAATATTTTTGATGAAGCAACACGGACGGTGGTAGTAATAGGGGGCTCAAGATATATATTCAACCTGCACAAATCAAATACATTGCCAGATGGCTACTAGTAGTCTTTATCACTCGTACTGGCCATCTCCAGGAATGAGCCTCCATAATAGATGAATACAACGGAATTTGATGCTACCACATTTATACCCAGGAATGTGAAAGCAGACCATGTGTCAAGAGTGGATCAGGGAGAGACCCCAAAAGTTGGGGAAAGAAGGAAGATCTTGTGAACCTCGGCATCGGGAAGGGGCAGAAACGAGGGCGGGCGGTGCCGAGCAACAGTAGCTGCTGCGGCGGCCTCGTCGTTCTCCCCGGACTTGTGTCGCGACTCTCCGCTTCTCTCTTCCTCTGCACTAGTCCCATCGGTGACTTTCTCTTCCCTTTCCTTCCATTATCCTGAGTCGCTACTGGGCGAGGAATGTGACCACTTCTTCCTTCTTTGTGTGGCAATTCCTCCTTCCCCTCATCTTATCTTGTGTCGCGGAAAGACACCACCCATCACTCCCCGCCCAGCACACGGCAATTGACCAGACCCGCGCCTCCGATCATGGACCTTGAACACCGTGACTTCAACAACTCAGACCAGCCCAGGCGGCGGAGACGGAATGCAGTGAGACGACGAATGCGCAATCGGGCACCCATTTCCGCCCGTCTCTCGCTCGATCCTCATCTCCGCGGGAATGTCGGGGTTGTGTCCGAGGATCTGGCCGGTGACCTCTTCCACACTTCCGGTAAGGGAAACATAACCGCACGAGGGTTGTACTACTCCGCTGACTTGGAATTCACCGGCTATGTAGAAGGGACTGGAAAGGAAACAGACATCCACTACATCGCCATCTCGCCGTACCAACCGGGATCGAACGCGGTTGAGGATCTAGCCTGGACCATCATTCCCGTTCGGCCGCAGTCCGCAGAACGCTCTTCCCAGTCGCCGCTCCCTCACTCCACCGTCCTTTTCCCAAGCTCGGCGACTTCTCTGCAGCCATTTACCGATGCCCTGAGCAAGCTTGATCCCACTCGTCATACCCTCCAAGCACAACGTCCCATTGAGATTCAGCTGTTAGATGTTGCGCCTCTACCTTTGGACACCATCTACGTGACTGTAGAGCGGGATCTCCTCCGGAACCACGACGATGTTCAAAACAAGTTTGGCGGAGGTTTTACGCCTAGTCAGAATGGCCCCAATGGACATTGGGCGAAGGCAGGGAAGGGTGGTGTCGAGGCCAAGAAGCAGTCGAAAAAGGCGGCAGCGGAGACGGAAGATAGGCTGACGGCTGCTGTACGGCAGGCCTTGGGAGCTGAGAAGGTGGTGCATACTGGCGATGTACTACCCCTTCCACTACCGCCCCATCCCATCACCTATGCCCCGTCCCCGCCTGCACGTATCTCTTACTGTGAGCCGGTTTCTCAGGGCCTGCTAATGCCGACGACCAAAGTGGTTCTGATTCAGGCACGGCCACAGGGCCATCGGTCACAGCGAAGCTTACGGTCGAGCTCGGGTCTCCTGAAGCAAGTCGCGGAGGACGAAGCAGATGACACGTCCAACGAACAGTTCTACTCCGCCGCGGAGGATAAGCCGGTGGAGAGCAGCACAGAGGTCGAAGCTACATCGACGGCAGATGAGTCGGAGACGGAAGGGTCAGGAAATGCTAGCGACACATCGGACGACTCCCTAGATGACATGATCTCTCTTGCTGCTCCCGAGCTACCTCAACCGCCGTCCGGCGTCATGTCCGCGATGACTGCTGCCACACCTCGGGCAGGTGGTCGCCGTGGGGACGGTACACATACCCCTGGGTCCGTGGCGTCTAACTTCACCTCTACGACTATGCGCCCTGGGCGAACAAACGGCGGGAAGGTGTTCAAGGCGGAAGGCTTGCTTCGGAGGGTATCGAGCGACCTTCTCCATCCCAGGCCACGGGAAGATGATGATACCGAATCATTCATCTTTGTGGATATTAGCACACTTGCAAAGATTGGTTGTTTTTCAGGAGACTGGGTCAGAATTGAGGCCACTGAAGAACCGCAGCTGAATATGTTCGCCTCTATTAAGCTTGGAAGCTTCAACGAACAAGAGGAGGACTCAGGAAATTGGCGTGCTGCTAAGATATACGGACTCCCAGGCCTGCCATCGGCTAAACCTCGGTATTCGATCAACCAGTCTGGCGAGCGACGGTCGAGTATCTCTCAGCGTGCGCCAACGCGCTTGACTCCTTCCGTCTTCGTCCCGCCTCTGCTCTTGAACAATCTTGAGAACCCGAAATATCTACGCATCTCCCCGATCGCTTTTGCTGCGGCCAATGGAGCTAAGCCTGGTCTTTTGCACCAGGTGAAGTCAAGTGTCGTGCGGAGCCCACCTCTGGCGAAGGAAGTAACTTTACTCAAGGTGTCTACCCCATTGTCCATGGACCGTGTTCTTCAACCGGCTCTGTTTGCTGGCCTCAAGCAATATTTTGAATCAAAACGACGACTACTTAAAGGTGGTGATCTTGTGGGAATCAGCGTTGATGAGGGACTCGGTCGAGCCGTCTTTCCTGTAACAACCGGTGGTGACACTGGTGCCCAGGATGATGATCTGACTATTCGTTTGGGCCAGGTTACTGATGCTAACCACACCGCATCCAAGAAAGTGGGCGTCGCCTGGTTCCGCGTTGGACAGGTTGTCCCTAGCACGTCCAATGAGCAGGATGGCCCCGAGAATCAGTGGGGAGGTGTTGCTGTTATCGATTCAGCCACCACCCGAATGGTCCAGGCCGGTAGTGATGTCAGCAGGGTACCAGGCACTATTAACAATGGATGGGAATATTGGCTTGGAGTCAAGACAGTTCCACGGGCCGCCAACGACGCTCCGACTCCGCATGGCCTTATCACGGAAGCCCCGCAGTCGTTTATTCCTCCGTTGCAGCAGCGCATTCGAGACCTGATGTCAGTGGCAACCAGCCCCCGTGCGATCCAGCTGGGCATGAAACCGGTCGTCATCCTGATCAGGTCCCAACAGAGGCATATCGGCAAGGCGACCATCGCAAACCGCGCTTGTGCTGACATTGGTCTTCATACATTCCCCATCGATGCGTACGATATTTTGACCGAAGGTGGCGCCAATGGAGGTGATGTGAAGACCGAAGCATATTTGAAGGCCAGAGCAGAGCGCGCGTTCCACTGTGGGCCGGAATGCACTGCTCTTTTGATTAAGCATATCGAAGTCTTGACTGCAGACCGCATCATCTCAGCGATGGCTGATATTGTGGCGGATGCGCGAGTCGTGATCGCGACCACCACGGATGTGGAGCAGATCCCTGAAGGCATTCGTAGCATGTTCACGCACGAGTTTGAGATGGGTGCCCCGGAGGAAAAAGAACGTGAGGGAATCTTGCGCAACGCTGTCACCGAACGTGGTATCAAAACATCACCTGATGTTGATTTATCCACTGTGGCCCTGAAGACCGCTGCTCTGGTTGCGGGAGACTTGGTGGATGTTGTTGAGCGGGCCTCAGCCGCAAGGACGGCTCGTCTCGAGAAACTGGCAGAACTGGCAAGCAAGAACGCTGGCCAGGCTGTCAGCGTTAGGGATGTACTGGTCTCCGGTGGAGACGCGGCACGAGGAGTTACGAAAGTTGATTTTGATGCTGCAGTTGATGCCGCCCGAAAGAACTTTGCTGATTCCATCGGTGCACCGAAGATCCCCAACGTCAGCTGGGACGACGTGGGTGGTTTGACCAATGTCAAGGATGCTCTGATTGAAACTATTCAGCTACCGCTCGAGCGACCCGAGTTGTTCGCTAAAGGCATGAAGAAGCGAAGTGGTATCCTATTCTACGGACCTCCAGGTACCGGCAAGACATTACTCGCGAAGGCTATTGCGACCGAATTCTCTCTGAATTTCTTCTCCGTCAAGGGACCGGAGCTGCTCAACATGTACATTGGAGAGTCTGAAGCGAACGTACGCCGAGTCTTCCAGCGGGCCCGGGATGCTCGGCCTTGTGTTGTTTTCTTCGACGAATTGGACTCCGTCGCACCTAAGCGAGGCAACCAAGGAGATAGTGGCGGCGTCATGGACCGCATTGTCAGTCAACTTCTCGCGGAGCTCGACGGTATGAACGGGGGTGAGGAAAACAGCGGTGGCGTCTTTGTCATTGGTGCCACCAACCGGCCCGACCTCCTTGACACGGCTCTCCTTCGTCCTGGTCGGTTCGATAAGATGCTTTATCTGGGTGTCTCCGATACCCATGAAAAGCAGTCTACTATTCTAGAGGCCCTGACGAGAAAGTTCACATTGTCGCCGGATCTATCGCTCCGCAGAGTGGCCGATCGGCTGCCTCTGACCTACACAGGTGCCGATTTGTACGCCTTGTGCTCGGATGCTATGCTCAAGGCCATTACGCGGAAGGCTACGGCTGTTGACGAAAAGATCAAGCAGCTCCCTGGAGAGCCGGTCAGCACGGCATACTTCTTCGACCACTTGGCCACGCCAGAGGATGTGGCGGTGATGGTTACGGAGGAAGACTTCAAGGAAGCACAGGATGAGCTGGTTCCTAGTGTTAGGTAAGTCACAATAACTGTTCGCCCCTAAGATTTCCCGCTCTAACAGCGTGCAGTGCCAAGGAACTGGAGCATTTCGAGCGGATCCGACAGACATTCGAATCAGTTGATAAGCAGAAGCAGGAGTCGGGCAATTCCGCGCCCCAGACCATCGAGGAAGTGCTGGAGGCACTCAAATCGGGAGACCAACTAGAGTTCAGTATGGACGGACCCACCACCAACGGAGACTCGCATGTCAACGATGCCGGAAAGGGTAAAGGCAAGCAAGTACCCAGTAGCCAGTCGGCTAGTGGGAAAGGTAAAGGGAAGAGCCCTGCAGGAACAGGCGGCAAGTCGAAGAACAAGCTCGTGGCCATGCCGAACGGCGACTCGGATTCGTCTCTGGACGGACCGACGGCCGACCGGGGCACGGGACGAGGCTACGATGATGTTGGCGAGGACGATGAGGATGGGGTGACCAACGGGGGAGATGAGGACTATATCATCCGTACTGACCACCTAGCACAGGATGGTGGGTCCAAGTGATGAGGAAGAGGCAAGGGACGATTGATTCCTGGCGCCACCAGATGACCTGTTGTATTATTCATCATGATATCAGGCCATCTGGAGGGCTGGTGTACATATTATACATATATCATAGCTGTTATGACTGCATACCATGTGAGAAGAGATTATGATGTTATTATACCATAGTACTATCCACAATTTCACTATTCCAGAATGCAGGCAAAGATTGCATGCGGCTCGCGTACTTCATAACGATCGGATCCAAATGCGTTAACCCTATTCAGGTTAGGTGGACCCTATTCCAGTTAGCGATAAGTATTAGTTTTGCTGTCAAAGGGAAGATAATGAGCTCTATCTTAGGTATAAAAGAGAAAAATTATAGGTAAGGAACTTATCTTCTTATCGGTTCCTGATAACCGACCAAAGACTGTTTGCCTTCTGTGAGTCAATTGCTGCCCTAATCATCTGTGTTGCCACATTCTCATCATTGGGATAATAACTATGAGATATCTAAACCCGGAGCGGGAGCTTATCTCTGCTGGAATCGGAGCAGGTCCTTTGCCCAATCCATGTTTCACCGGCCAAATAAGCTTCGTCTCCGTCACCCCAACCTGGTTAGACTCCGGTCTTCTCCAGCAACCCATCCTCCACTATCTCGAATCTGACTGGCGGTCGGCGATTCGACTTCGGCGCTGTGCACGAATCAAGATGAGTCGCACCACGGGGGTTCTTATCATTCAGGCCCATTCAGTGCCATGGTGGGTTGAGAAGCAAGTAAGGCTGGCACTGACTGGTAGTTCTCAGCAGTGGAAGTTGTACCTGTTTGATATTACCCCATATCCATTAGGTAACAGACGACGGAGCATCTCCGCCACTGCGATTCCCTCCCCGCAATTTCGCTGCTCCTCGACCAGCCAGAGCTGCTCTGGCTTCTCATACCTCGGGGAGATATTGTTGCTCCCTCCCAAATCGAGCTGCGATAATCCCGGTGGATAATGAATGGATGGCATCCGTTTGTCGTAATGACGGGCTTGGGCGTGTGGAAGCCTTGTTCCGTGACCACCCCTCCCTGTGTCCCTCCCCTTCCTTTCCTCCCATTTCCGCTGTCGCCTTACAACCCTCACCTGGTCTGACGTGCTTTGCTTTCTCTCTTATTTTCCCGCGGGATTCCCTACATTCTCTCTCTTCATTCAATATACCTTTCTCCTTCCTCCCTCTTCTTCTTCCCTCCTTCCTTTCCCCTTATTCCTCTCTCTGTTCGATTCCCCCTTGATCCCGAACAATTCCCTTGGTTACACATACTCGGGCAATTGATACACCTCGCCCACCATGAAAGACTTTCGGGGAGATGATGACGCCCAGTTGGCGGCCATGGGCCACAAGGCCGAACTGAACCGCAATTTCTCTATGCTGTATGTCACCTTCCCACCCATGCCCTGATGCTGCTGATCTACCTCTCACGTGGACCAATACTGATGGATGGTGGTGGTGGTTGATGCAGGTCAATGTTGGGTTTAGCGTTTGCCATTCTGAATGTACGTCGACAAATCATCGCCTCCGCTCGACCTCGATGAGAGACCGTCTCTGGTACTAGACCACACCGGGAAGTCGATAGCTAATTAAGTCTGCGCGCAGTCATGGACCGCTTTATCAGCCAGTTTATCCCTCAGTCTGCCGTCTGGTGGCTGCGTTAGTGTCATCTGGGGTAAGTCATTGGTGTTGAGGGTTCATCCCTAGTTATTGTCTGCATGGCGGGGATGTTTCATGCTCTGATTGTGTTGGTGGTAGGTGAGATTCCTCGGCTAACTTCTGTCCTTTCTAGGGTTGATCACGGCTGGTATCTGTAATCTTTGCATGTCGGCTTCGCTTGCCGAGTTCTTGTCGGCATATCCTACGTAGGTGCTTCTAGATGTGCTTTTTGGTGTCTAAGACTAATTGTGGTTAAGTGCTGGTGGACAATATCATTGGGTTGCAGGTGAGTGATACATGTTTTATACTCTATGACTGTTACAGTGCTAACTATCTTTCTTTTACAGTTAGTATGTTTTAGGATATCTTTTTTTCTGCCGCTTTTTGCTGACAGTAGATGAAAGTTTCCTGGGAAAGATGGATGCCCCTTCTTTCGTGGATCACGGGTTGGGCGAACGTGACTGGCTGGGTATTGTATACAGGACTTTTCTATACGTGCAACTGCTAATTCCTACAGGTTGCCCTGACTGCAACCGGAGGTCTTCTTGGAAGTGAACTGATCTTGGGTGTTATCTCGTTGATGCATCCCGTAAGTCTCTCGCTGACTTCTTCGACCCGAACAATTACTCACAACTCAATAGTCGTATGTTTCGCAGCGCTGGCATCAGTTCCTGATCTACATCGCCTATAACATTATTGCATTCCTCATCAATGCCTTTATGGGCTCGCTTCTTCCCTTGGTTACTAAGGGTGCCTGTGAGTGGAGTTGTATGCCTAAATATATGATTTTGAGCTGACATGTCCAGTTATCTGGTCCCTCACCGGCTTCACTATAATCTGCATTACTCTCTTAGCATGCGCATCCCCAAACTACAACTCCGGAGAGTAAGTAATAATCGGCTAATTGTTTCTACACGTTATGCTGATCAAATAGGTTCGTCTTCGGAGAATTCATCAACGAAACAGGATGTATGGCAAACCACACCCCTTATTTATCGGTAAATGCTAACAGATCTTAGGGCCTGATGGACTTGCTTGGCTGCTCGGAGTATGTTTTGCTACCTAAATTCTGCGGATTTTGTTACTCATACCATGTAGCTCCTTCAAGGTGGACTGGGTCTCACAGGCTTTGTAAGTCTTCTGCTCTCTGTTGTACAACACTGTACTAATTTCTATTCAGGACGGTGTCGCACACATGATCGAAGGTAAATTTGCCAACACTACTGGCGTCATCATATACTGAACATTCGTAGAAATTCCAAACCCCTCGGTGGTAGGGCCGAAGATCATGATCGGTTGCGTCGGTATTGGAACCTTTACTGGCACAATCTTCTTGATTGTTCTCCTCTTTGTGGCTGGAAACATCTACGAAGATATCAACTCCGCGGCCACGCCTTTGCTGCAGATTTTCGTGAATGCGACGAGCAACAACGCCGGTGCCATCTGCCTTCTCGTGTAAGTTGTTCCTAAGATGTCGGCCCGCAATCACTGACATGTTCAAGCTTCCCTCTCGTGTGTGTTCTCTTTGCTGCTACCACGATCATGACCACCAGCAGTCGTATGATCTACGCCTTTGCAAGAGATGGCGGTCTCCCCGCTTCTCCTTTTTTCAGCAAGGTGCACACCAAGCTGGAGGTTCCTCTGAATGCATTGTACCTTACCAACATTCTGGTCATTATTTTTGGGTGCATTTTCCTCGGCTCGTCAAGGTAGGTAAAATGCAAAAAGTGAAAATGCAGATTGCGGTTTGTTAACCTCTCAACAGTGCGTTCAACGCTATTGTGTCGGCTTCGGTTGTCATGCTTGATGTGGCGTACGGCATCCCTATTGCAGTGAACTGCATTCGCGGCCGGAAGATGCTACCGGAGAGGTCCTTTGTCTTGCCCAACGTTGTGGGCTGGATTGTAAACCTGGTACGTCTGACTGGGAAACTATTTATCCGTAAAATACTGACATGTTTCCTGGATAGATCTCGCTAGCCTACGTTTCCCTCACGACCGTGCTCTTCCTCTTCCCCCCTGACTACCCTGTTACTGGAAGCAACATGAGTAAGTTCGTCCCGGTATCCACTTTACCATATTTCTAACGTGTCCGCCCTAGACTACTGTGTAGCCGTGTTTGGCATCGTTATGGTGGTGTCGATCTTCCAATGGTTTGTTGACGGACGTAAAAACTTCACCGGACCACGGATGGATGTAGATATCATCAGTGGCCAGGTAGCCCCCGGTGAAGGCACCGATGAAGTCGTGGTGCCTACCAACTTCCATGAGAAATAAGCAGGTCGCAACCTGGCGAAACGGATGAACATGGGCCCGAGCACAGGTGCTCAGGCACTTTTGGAAACCTTTTTTGTATATAACACACGGCGTCTTGGAGCATAGAGTTTAGCCTGAATAGTCATTCACTCGAACCACTGGTGGCAGTCATCTCCGGTGAATGCAGCATGAATTGCGTCATATCCAGAGGCGGGAGATGGGCCGATCCCAACAACTCCAGATAACCGCTCCTCTTTTTCCCCACACTTCGGCTCACTTGCTCTTTGTTGACCTCGTGCACACCTCGTGCTTTTCTACACGCGATTATCAGGGTAGATCTGAACTTGATAAGACCGATAAGGCTGCTGCTCTGCCGATCTTCACAGTCTCAAGCGTGCATTTACTTGTCGAGTGAGTGATTCTTCGAGTGTCTCTCGGCGCCCTCGAAAACCGCCCGATCTCAACGCCAAGACCAGCCGCTCCAACGGCTCGTCAACAGATCGGGTTTCCCGTGCTAGATAGCGATTAAGCTGTCTTTAGTCTCTGTTTCCCTCTCAACTGGAGTAAATATGTTTTCCTTTCTACCTCAGATCAGCAGAATATTCGGGGATCGTGTGTTATTCGCGCTGCCTCCCGTGAAGACCCAGGAAATTGATACGGCCCATGAGAAGCCCGCACGCGCGCTAAAACATCTGCTGAAATTGAACCATGCCAACCATGCCATATTGTACAATGATCGAAAGTTTCATAATCATGCTCCGCACGTAAGTTGACCGCTATCGACTGGTTTGAATGCTGCTAACATGCACAGATTCTGAGCTCATCGTTCATGCAAGGTGCTGATGCAGATGATCTGCACCGTGTATATGAGGCCGAGTCTACGCACCTGGAACCTTGGACTGATGCTCCTGGGGAAATCAGTGACTTTGACTGGAGAGATTTTCTGGGTTGCAGAGAGTAGGGCTGATTCTACACTCTTTTCTGACGACCACTCGCTAATATGCGCTGAATAGGTATCAACGTGCCTTTGTGGACTTCTTTGAAGATGAACTTGTCCGCCAGTCCTACGACTGGAAGCAGGTCGTCAACGAGTACCTTTTCTCCGGAAAAGAGCCCATCTTCAACTCTATCATCGCTGATCGTACGTTGTGCAAGCAAAGCCCCTCAAAACACCTCACTAACCATCTACCGCAGTCGGCCACCCCCTAATCCACCTGGCTTATGCCTTCGAATTCGCCAGCCGCGAAGTAGCCATGGAAGCCCTAGCCCTGACCTCAACCTGCTACAGTGCGATTCACAAATACCTGGATGATCCATCCTACGCTCAAGCCGAATCATCCTACCAGTCAACCTCCCTCTTCGACATCCTCGACAAAGTCCGTCTCGACAAACAATTCAACGGCCTCTTCGGCACCCCCGGCGGCAACAACATGGACATCGTCTTCCGCGACCGCGAAGCCGCCCTCCTCAACCACTGGAACGCCTGGAAAATCCAAGACCCTATCGCCCAGTTCCGCGAGAGCCAGGAAGTCGCCGTCGCTATCCTGACCGGCACGCACTCAGACCGCACCAGCGAGCAATACGACTTCTTCTTCGTCCACATCCTCACTACCAGCCACGCTGTCCGCGTCTTACTACCCCTTATCCCTCCCCAGTTCCAGCTCTCCCTGGTCAGACAGTGGTGGCTCATGACGCTGTGCGTTTACGTTGCTCAGCTGCGTCCGAAGATCGACCTCGACCGGATCCGCAAGTATGATCTTGGTGGTCGTGATTGGAACTGGACTGCTAAGAGGGCTGTGAAGAGTGAGCATTCAACTGATGCGCATTATGTGAAGGCCCTGCGCGCTTATAAGGAGTGTGCGGCTACTTGGGGTGATGCGGATGAGTTTTATCTCAAGGCCGCGGTGAGGTTCGGCGAGGAGTTTAATGGTTGGGGTGGGTTTGTTTGAGCTTGATTTAATGGATGTGGGATACGGAGAGTGGTTTGTTGGTGGTGTATCTGATATCTCTGCTCTTTTTATGTACGCGAAAAGTGATGCTTAATAGGTTTGTGCAGAGTAATGAATTCTTCTTTCTCTCTTTTTGTATGGACTAGTTGGATCCAATTATTCCATAGGTGGCCGCTGTAGGCTCATTGAGTATTCAAGTAATACCGAAGGATAGAAACGGTATATGTTAGTTGATATGGGAAAGGAAACTGTTATAATAGGAAGGAACTGCTAAACATACGAGTGCCGTCTTAAGCCTGCTACGGAGTAAACAGGACTAGCTACACGACCACTTTCGAATTGAAAAAGGTGACTTTTCATCCCATCTGTTTCGCATCTTTTGGTACTTCTGCTCTAGCACCCAACAGGATGTGCTACAATCACCCTCAGGGTGGCGGTCCCTCCTACAAACCGGTATGGCCAGCAGAATTGCGCAAGTGTATACCACCCTTCTTTATCTATGGTAAGTCTCCTATTTTTGCTGTCCTTCACATTCTGGGACGACTTTGTCTGCGGGTGGAAAAGTTTCCAGTGGCCACCCACGGGGGGCAGTGAGGCTTGGGAGAAAAATGTCTAGTTTACTTGAGGAGCTACAGCAATATATGTGGCGCAAGCCCCGAGCGGCGTAAGTCGATGCCATCCCCAGCAAGAGCTCAGCCCCCAGCCTTCTTCCGTGCAGTTGGCAGATCCGCGGCCTTGACTGGAACGCCAATAGAACAGCGTCAGCCGATGCACGGGTGCCCAATCCATGACCTATTCGCCAACAGAAAGCAGCTGATCGAATGAGATGCTAGCTGCAAACGCGGCTGAGAATGACAGAAGAGGGCATTATTCTACTGTTGTGAACCGATGGGATTGCAACTTGAAAAATCATTTCTTGCGGAGATATGTTCCCCTCCAGACATCGTCAATGTCGTTTTGAATACGGACGATGGATCCGCTCACTGCAGTAGGCCTAGCAAGCAATATCATCTCCTTCGTCGATTTTACAACCCAGGTGATTTCACGATGCGAGGAACTCTATCGGTCCGCTTCAGGGGCTACCACAGAAAACCTAGAGCTAGAAGAACTCGCCACAAATATTCGTCGATTGGCTGAGGAAACTCGATGCACGAAGAAAGATAAGATACTCGAGAGCCTGAGTTCACAGTGCATCAGTGTATCTGATGAGCTTATCGCGCTCCTCAACTCGGTGAAGGTCAAGAGCGACCGGCGTGGATGGGCTAGCATCCACCAAGCCCTCAAATCGGTATGGAAGCAGAGCGACATCGATGATCTCCAGCAGAGATTGAACCGAATTCAAGCACAGCTTTACGATCATTTGATCACCCACCAACAGCGAGAGATCGACTACAAGATAGAACGTCTTGTCGAGGAGAATGAGCGCCTCGATGTGAATCGGACCAAGGAGCTGGAAACGCTGAGAAATCAGATCACATCCGCCCTACACGAGATCATCAGTGATGTCCGGCAGGAGGGCCAGAAGACGCGAGCCTGGTCGGCGTTGTACGCTGGCTCACAGAAAGGGAAAGTGTACTCAACTGAGCAGCTCCTGTTGAACAGCCTTGTCTTCCGGCTGATCGACTATCGGTATCAAGCCATTCCAAAAGAACATGCAAGAACATTTGCCTGGATCTTCGAGCAAGACACGGAACTGGATAGAACACTCCCACCTGTGAACTTCGTGGATTGGCTTCGACATGATAACGGGCTATATTGGATCTCGGGAAAGCCGGGCTCTGGAAAATCGACCCTCATGAAATTCCTGGCAGGACATGAGCAAACTCAAGAACACCTGAACACATGGTCTGGAGGCAACAAACTTGTCCTAGCAAGTTTCTACTTCTGGAGCGCTGCCAAGAACTCCCTGCAAAAGTCACAGACCGGCCTACTCCGGTCAATTCTCTACCAGATTCTACGTCAATGTCCAGAATTGATACGATCCGCTTTTCCCGACCAATGGAGCCGGTCGATTTCCAGCGTTACGGGCTTGGCCGAGACACCCTTCAGCAACGCAGAGCTACTCGAAGCATTTGACAAAGTCACCACAGCACTGGCAACTTACAAAATCCGATTCTGCTTCTTCATAGACGGACTAGACGAGTATGAGGGCCGGCCGGCGGATATTATTCAACTAGTCGAATATCTTCAGTCTTCACCCAATATCAAAGCCTGTGTTTCTAGTCGTCCTTGGAACGAATTCGAATACAGTTTTGGTAAAGACAACCCGTGGAAATTGTACATTCATCACCTAACCCAGGAGGATATCCGAATCTACGTTGAAGATAGACTTGGGAAACACGAACGCTTTCGAGAGCTTCAAGTATCTGACGATAACTGTCCCAATTTTGTAAAATCAATTGTCGACGCAGCACAGGGTGTCTTCCTCTGGGTAATTCTGGTGGTGAACTCGCTTCTAGATGGCCTCACAAACGCTGACACAATCTCCCATCTACAAGAACGACTACTCGAATTTCCCCAGAGTCTGGATGAGTACTTCCAGAAAACCCTTATGACCGTCGAGGAACGGTACCGCCCGCAAATGGCTCGAGCCCTTATTATTACCCTGAAAACCTATGATATTCTTCCTCTGATGTGCTACTGGTTTCTAGACCGCGGAGAGCCTGACTATGCGCTTAATATGAAAGTCAAACAGCTGGACAAGGAGACGTTAAGCACACAGATGAAGATCACGCGGACTCGACTGAACGCGTACTGCAAAGGGCTCCTCGAAATACAATATCCCACAGACACCAAAACTATCAGATTGCAATCGCCTAGGTCTATCTTCCACTTTCACGTAGATTTCCTTCACAGAACCGTGCGAGACTTCCTCTGGACGTCGGGGATGCAAGATTTGCTCCGTACTTGGCTGCCACAGGATTTTAACCTCGACCTCGACATCTGCAAATTCATTCTAGCCTTGATCAAGATCTCAGCGCCCGATTCATTACATCCCAGTTACTCATACATTCTTGGGCAGTTCGTCAAAATCTTCTTCCATCATATTGCAAGGTTAGACGGCGATACAGCCTGCGAATGCTCACAATTCGCTCTCCTAGACGAATTGGCAAAGTTTTTCCAGCTCTATATTGAGGATCAAGATCTCTCTTCCCATAAAGTGGGCGGAAATCTAAACGATGGCGTTGGTATCGTCCTAGGTTTAGGGGTTCCTGTATATCATCAGCAGTGGAACGGGGAAATAGCAATACTAGGGCGATCGGTCCTAGCAGGTCTTGCTCGCTACACTGAGCATACACTAAAGAAGCACCCGAATCTGCTGCTGGAGAATAGTGACAAACTCCTGTGGAAAGTACTATATCGTGCAGACGACTATGAGTCCGACAGCGTTGAAGCCCCGGATACCGCGATGCTCGAGCTACTTCTACGAAATGGCGCTGACCCTAATACCCCAGCAGTTAGCTCCCCCTGGGAAGCCTATTTATGGTGTTTGAACCGGTGGAAAGAAAAAAGTATGATTTCTAAGAAGGACATGAACAATCACTACCCAGCTGTTCTGATGCTTCTAAAATATGGGGCCGATCCCGATGTCTCATTTGCGGGTGGTAAGACGGCGAACATGGTGCTGCAAGAACTGTTCTCTCCGGCTCAATACGCCTGCCTACAAAAAGTGATTGAGGGTAGACCGCTAAAAAAGAGAAAAGGGAAATTCCATAAAGGGAATCAGAAAAGTACTAGGAAGCAACAAGCGAATCTCAAGGATACGGGCAAACTCCACGTGGTTCGATCTATTTTCCGGGAATTGGGTCCTTTCCGTTCACGACAAAAGTCTTCAGTTGACGGATGACCTACTTGTTTGAGATTCACAGAAAGCTATTGAGAGTATGGAGACGAGGAACATTACTAGATTGTTATGATTGGGTCAACTTTCGCTAGTTATGCAGGAATGTACATCAAAGATATAAGCATCTCTCTATGCCACGTGGTCTTGTCCCATAGGAAGGCACAAGTTCACTAAGCTCTCGTCAATTGGAACATTGTACTCGTAGAATGTAATTGAAGTTGTAGACCGTCGACCTATGATTGAGTAGGGCGAGAGGTGTACAGCTTAGGCTGCGATGCCGCAAACCCGTGGACCAGGAATGTCTATCTAGATTACCCTTCCCATCTATGTTATATTCACAGGCGCTACGAACCACTTTCCTATCAACATCCTTCGGGGTCTAATCCACCTCTGGTAACTGCTATTAGGGTAGGAATCAAATAGTCATCACTGGCTACTTGGGAGAACATACATTTTGACCAAGCGATATGACTCTCCGCCTTGAACCAGGAAGGCATTCCCAAAATTACTTTGGATTGAGTCACTGTAATAAGGTGAAGCATTGTAATCCTCAGGAACGGGTGGAGAGTAGCCATCCATAACCTGGTCGTCTTGGAGTCTTACACATATAGTTCTCTCTGCCTAAGGCATGAATCATAGACAAGCACTCACGTGAGCGCGCGTTCGGTTTGTCTCCTTTGCATCTCCACCTCCGCGGTCCTCTTTGTCTTCCATCCAATTGTTCTCGAAAAGCACAATATCCAACACAGAGAAAAGTAGTGCTCGCTAGACTAACTCATTACTAAATACAGTAACAGGGACACAAACTACAATGTCACAATCACCACAAGATGAACCACAACCTAACCAAACTCCATCCCTCTACCTACACGCCGAACTCCTCCCCAACATCCGCCAACTAATCCTCTACATCTCAGTTCCCCCAAACACCCCGCGCTCTGACCTGCAAATCAGCCTCTCGGACTCACGACGCGCAGTCACCGTAACAGTCCCCTCCACCACCAACCAAGATGGCCCCTCCTCAATTTCCGAAACAATCAAACTCCCCGCGCGCGTCAGTGAATCCTCCCGACGCATCCTCCAACAACAGCCGCCCTCCACACAAAGCGAAAGTGAATACTCCTTCCGCATGCAAGTAGACGACAATGACACGTCCCTGCATAAGGACGATTCAACCCTGAATGACGGGTTCATTCCCTGGACAGCGACGGACATGTCCGCGCATACACGCCTGCGGTGCGTCAAGTGCCATAGCCCTATCCTTAATGAGGGGAAAGTGTGGAAAGACCTTCCGAGCGGGAATTGGGCCGAGATGATGGATTTCTGGCATTGTCATAAGCCGGATCCGCCGGAGGAGGAGAAAAACAAAGGTGGAGAGGATCCTAATGCCGTGGTGAAGGGGTATGGGGCTGGCAATCAGCTTGTTGCGGTGGAGGGGACGGTGTTGGTGGATGTGACGAGCTTTTTGGTGAAGGGGGTGGATTGTCTCGGTGTTGAGGAATTAAAGGTAAGGGATCTTATGTTATGTGTTTCTGGGTTAAATTGTTTGGGAGCATGGCTTTGTAAGAAAGGGTGGGATATGGGCAACAAGAAGGAGACCTTTTCAGTCAATGATGAGGCCTTCGATACAATTGCCCTATAACTACAGAGTCTTGGTCGGTCTGTATGGCCCGGCATGAACAAGTGCAGTGGCTGGTGCTGGGGTGCTGCGGGATAGATATCCTCTCTCGCAGATGGATTTCATCCCGTGGTCGTCTCAGCATGGGTCAGTGTAGCTTGGGTGCTCTGGTGCTGTGATCAGGACTGCGCCTCGCTGTTTCTCCGTTGTCTTGGTCCAGAGTGATGGAGTCGACGCGATTATGCAGAGGTACATCTATCGTCTATACCAGTAAGCGTAGGCTCAAGATAATGCATGTAGATAGAATCAAGCGTGTTATACCTTATACCACATACCTACATCTTCCACAGGCTAATGCCCTCCTCATAGGTCCTATCCAAAGACTCAACACCAACCCAGCCAGCATCAGAGCCAGAACCAACAATCCTAACCTGCAAATCCTGCACCACCCAACTCGGCCTCCCCGACCCCATCGCCAACGGCTACCGACTCTTCAAAACCAGCCTGTCCGCCAACACCCCTTCAACCTCATCCTCCCAACACAACCATCCAGAGGAGTCCTGGGAATCCCACCCCCCGGAAACAATTCTCACCGCACAACTCCTCGAACTCATCGAACGCGAAAGCTACCGCCGATTCGTCATCCACTGTGGAGCTAAAGAAGGACTACTCGTGAGACCATACCCCCTTCTTCCCCGTACCCACTACCCCAAACTCACATAAGCTAATATAAAAGATATAGATATGGCCCTTCAACCCCTCCCTCCGATACTCCACGACCAGCGCATCGCACAGCACGGCGGCACAACTCGCCATGAAGGTATTCTACCAGCATATCGATAATGTCGAGGAGGTGTTGCACCCCGAGGTGGGCAAGGGAAGTCAGTCGTTGGCTATTGAGGAGGTGAGACTTCCTGGGGAGGAAGCGTATCGGGAGTTGGTGGGCGTGTTGGAGGAGAGGAATGGCATGTTGCCGGCTTCGGCGAGGGTGTTTCGGGAGTGGAGGGTGGGGTTGTTGTGGAGGTTTGAGAGGAGGTAGTAGTAAATCATGGATTTGTTGGTGTGGTGTTTGTTCCTTCCTGTTTGGGTTGGGGGTAGTGAATGAAGGGAGAGGGACTACTTGGCTAGGATTCTACGGGAGTAAGAGTTGAAAGAGATTCTGAACTCACTTCTGATGACTAGTGATTAGTGTACTTGCGGGTAAGACAATCCTATCTAGATAGGTTTCCTGTTTGTGTTGTACGTTATACTGACCGAATACTGCGTTCATAGATACACACTCAACTCAACGCCCTTCAAACCTACCACTATCAATCCACACTCCCCCCACCACCACTAGAGCTCACCATATCAAAACCTGCCGTCTACCCACAGACACAGCAAACAATGCCCTCAATAACGCCCCAACCTCAATCTCAACCTCGATCCCAATCGCATCCTCGTTCCCCCTCCACCACCTCCGACGAAAACAACACCGTCACTTGGGAACATCTCGAACATGCTCCGCCGTCACTTTCAACTCAATCAGCAGATACTACTGCTCACAATAACGATACCCGGTCTACCGCGGATAACCGTTCTGAAGGGGTCATTAGCCATGGAATGCATGCACGGTCTGAGGCGGTGCATGTTGAGGATGTGATGGCTAGACCCCAAGGGACTGGAACTGGGCCGGGGATGGGGCCTGTGCCTGGGGCTGGTAGGGCGCCGGCTATTAGGATTTATCCGCCTGGGGATACGGTATCTACGTCTGCGTCTGGTGCTAGTGGTGTTGGGGGTTCTACGAAGTCTGCTTCTTTCTCTGGGAGGTGAGAGGGGTTTGGGAGGTGAATTGGGTGTTGATTCGTGATGAGGTTCTTATTGCTGGGTGGTGAAGCGGTGGGTTCAAGCTTCTCTTGGTGTTACCAAGCGCTGCTATAAATATTCCTAGTGTGGAAATGTCCTGACGGCTGCACACAGTTGATAATCTGCTTAATTCATGCTCTGTACTGTAATTCATATCTAGGCCAGTCCCGCTGCTATCGTGCACTTCATTAGTAGAAACTGTCGAGACCGTGCGGCTAACCCTCAAACGGCGTCTCATATGGCGCTTCCGCCTGCGGAGTGATTCTCGCATGGTGTCGTCTCTGGCCGTCTTCCCAGTCGAAGAGGGCAGAGTGGGTAACAACGCGGTTCTATACTCGTTAGTCTTTAGTGTTGTCGAGTAAGGGAGGAGGTTAGACTTACGTCCCAAACGACCACAGTTCCAGGACGCCATCTCACCCGCGTCTGGAGATCCTGGGAGAGAGCAATGTGGTCGTACAGGAACTTGAGAAGGTAGTCGGACTCTTCCTTCTTGTAGCCGACGATGTAGCGGGTGACTGTGCTTGTTAGTATCATAGAGTAGGGGGGAGATGATACTGGTACTTACATTGAGGGTTGACGAAGAGGGCTTTTTCTCCGGTCACCTGGATGATACTATTAGATTGAAGATTTGGAACAGTTTCGGGGTTGTGCATACCGGGTGAGTCCTGACAATTGGGTGTTCAGAAGTAATCGGATCCCGTCGAGCAATACCTCCCTTGTTCAGACTGTTGTTGACCTGCTCAATGCCGGAGTGAACTGCCTTCAGCCCGTGAAGTCTCTTACGGAACTCAGGCGAGAGACGTCTGTATGCCTGTGCCATGTCGGCGAAGAGAGTGTCACCACCGCTTGATGGCCCGTCCAGGATGTACAGGAAGGTCGTGCCAGGGGGCTGCTTCTCGAAGGTGACGTCCGAGTGCCAGGTGATGGTGTTGGTGCGTTGGGATAGGAATTCAGCTCCGCTTCTGTCATCGGCACCTCTGTGCACGAGATGAATCTCCGGGAAGCCCTTGGGTGCTCCAGAGGTCTGGTGGATGTGATGTCTGCCGAAGTAGCCGCCGAACTCTAGGGCTTTCTCGATGGGCATGTGTGCGAAGTCTTGGTCGCGGAATGCTAATATGGTTTGTTAATGGGAAGTCTTCTCGTCTTGGAGACGGGGATCGTACCAACGACCTTTCGCTGAGCTACGTACAAAGCCAGCTGGTCTTTTCCTTCCTTGGTCAGTTGGCTCAGCTGGACGCCGCGGACTTCGGTGCCAATGGTCGGTGTAATGTGGTCTACTTCGGCTTTGTCCTTGGGTAGGAGGTCAGGGAAGGTCGGGTCGGCATCCTTTCCGTGGTCGTAGTGCTCGAAGGGCTGAAGGGGAGGGTATCTATGGTTGTCAGTGTGATGGGAATAGATCTATCGATAGTGCAAGTTACCTCTCTGTTTCGTTGTCCCAAACAGGAAGATAGTTGGGGAAAGAAGCTGGTGGCTGCTTCTCAGTTCCCTTCAGCTCGTTCTCATGCTTGTAAGCCTCTCCGTAGCCAATCACGTTCTCCTTATTAAAGCCAGCATCGGTCTTAAGCGTAGTCTTAGGTGCCGATCGAAGCGACAGAGGGGTTTCTTCAACCAGAGATGGGGCCATGTTGGATGTCTACAGGTGCAACTATGACAGCTATGCTGTTTTTGTGGTGATATCTAGAAAGCATCCTGCAGAGAGAACAGCAACCATATATATTCTGCTCTCATTCCGAATATCCGTCTTTTGTCACGCAATCCCTGCGGGGTATGGATTGACGCCATTTTCCGGCTGTCAGGTATCACGGAGATACTGCAGTCGGATATGCTGGGAACTTGGACAAGGAGTTACGCGAGCCACGGGAAGGTTGTGTAAGCCAGCATGACTCGCCGATCGGGCATGTCAATGGTGCAATGATAATGCCAGAAAGTTAAGACATCAGTGCTGTGGTTATCAATCATCGTTTCACTCGAACCGAGCCATGGCTGCAGCCAACCAGATCTATGAATGGCTGGAAAGATGTCCTTGACTATTTTTGGAGATCCTGCGGACATAATCATTAAAGTCCATTTAAATCCAACATAGGTTCCTGTACGCTTCGCGTCGAGGGCGTGCTGCATTTAATGCAGTCTATGTAGTGCATGGGAGGAAGAGAAGAGGAGGTGGTTGCTGCTAGCAAATGCGGGCCAAGCATGGCGTGATAGTGCTGTTGCTTCGCGCAACTCGCCCTAATTAAGCTCGCCGGCAAGGCGACGTGCAATCCAGACTCATACCCCACCTAAGGCTTTGTCTCCGAGGTTTTATTGCCTTCTGATCTGGGTCAGAATTATCTTAAAAATATTCTTTAGGGAGTTTACTGCGCATATGGTGAGGTGTTACTGGTACTGTTGTCTTATCGCGATGAATCGCATCAAAGTCCGCATCTACCACATTTTGAATGCTCACCATGAACCTTTGGAGACCATCCATTCGTATCAGATTCCCCCACCATAAGCGGCTTATCCTTCCCAATCAGCAATAAATACAATGTTGCGATGTCAAGCCCCTAGCATATCATCATAAGCCAATGCGATGGTGACATCGCAGGTCTGGCGAACTTGATACAATCTCTCTGCTATTATTGGATCCTCTGCCATCAGCTGCGGAGATCTGGAGCAGCCGCTAATCTCAGGCCCGGTACTTGTCCGCTTAACCTTACTTGTTCCTCATAACGTCAGTTATGCTCCCCTTGCGTGATTTCATCCCCTGCCGGGACTTTTGCGCAAGATCGGTCAAGTCTCCCGCACTAACAAGCACTTCGGCAAGTAAAGCCATATCAGATTCTGCGGCCCTTGAATCATGGAAGATCAGTCTTTAGGCACTTCTCGGCCGTAGTTGACGTTGGCCCCATTCCGCCAACCATTTCATGTCGCACATCGATGCGCTCAACGTTCTAGGTTGCCTGAACCTTACCCACTCATGCGACGGTTGGCTACGTATAGCTACCCACAGCTCTCGTACTAACAACTAGTACATCGTGCTGACACTTTAACAAAAAATTGCGTGATGGAGTTCGACGCCTGTTTATCGCTGATGGACACGTCAAAAAGGCCCGATGTCCCCTGAGGTCGCTGATTATTTCTTGAACTCAACCACCCGAAGCTGGTCCTTCACTGTTATTCTGCCTCTCACCAGCTTGCTATACAGGCGAGATGACCACAGACGGTGTCAAGGAAGTCCCCGCGGACACGGCCTCCGCAAATGAGGACACCAAGAAGAACCCTGATGTCTCGACATCATCGGCATCGTCATCCTCACTTACGGACTCGGAACACAGAGTCGCAAAGGTGACTGACTGCGCCTTCGATACGACGGAAGACCCTAGGTTTTACAAGCCGATTCCCGAGTATGAGAGCGCGCATCGCTGGGATCCATACTTCGAATGGACGGAAGAGGAAGAAAAGGCACTAATCAAGAAGGTAACTACCATATCATCCAAGCCTATCTGCTAAACCATAGCTGATCGCAACAGATTGACATCCGGGTTTGTACTTTCGCATGCGTTACATTTTTCGCACTTCAGCTTGACAGAGGCAACATTGTGCAAGCAAACTCGGACAGCATGCTGGGGGACCTCGGAATGACCACCAACGATTACAATAACGGACAGACAATTTTCTACCTCACTTTCCTCTTTGCCGAGCTTCCCTCGCAGTTACTGTCTAAGAAGGTCGGTCCAGACCGCTGGATTCCCATTCAAATGATCGCCTGGAGTTTCGTCGCCGCATTCCAGGCCTTTCTCAAGAACAGGGCCGGATACTTCGCCTGCAGAGCGCTTCTCGGCCTCCTGGAGGGAGGATTGTAAGTCTTCCTACACCTTACCACCTGGGAATAATCTTCCTAACATTTTCTAGTATTGCCGACACTATCCTCTTCTTGTCCTTCTTCTACAAGTCCAAAGAGCTGCCGCAACGGTTGAGTTACTTCTGGGTTTCTTACGAAGCTACATCGATCGTCGGCGCTTTTCTGGCGTTCGGCTTCCTCCACATCCACGGCTCTGGCGGTTATACTGGAGGATGGCGCTATTTGTTCGCTTTTGAGGGTCTTATTACAGGAACCATCGGGATCATCGCCGCGTTCTGGATGCCTGCATCTCCCACCCAGACTAAGGGCGGTCTCCGCGGTAAAGACGGTTGGTTCAACGAGCGCGAGGAGAAGATCCTTGTCAACCGTGTACTTCGTGACGATCCCAGTAAGGGAAGCATGCACAACCGTCAGGCGGTCACACCGAAGATGCTTTGGCATGCTCTGTGCGACTACGACATGTGGCCCATCTATCTGCTTGGTCTGACCTGGATGATTCCCAACACACCTGCTACCAACTACATTACCCTGGAGTTGAAGTCGCTTGGATTCGGCACCTTTGAAACGAACCTCCTGACCATCCCCGCATATGTCATCTTCATTATCAACCTACTGTTCTGGACATGGATTTCAGAACGCTTCAACCAGCGTCTACTTCTCGGCGTCGTCTCTGAATTTTGGTGTTTGGTCTTGCTCATCGCGCTTGAAGTCCTGCCAGATGGAGCCAGTGCATGGGCGCGGTGGATCATCAATGCTCTCTTGATTGGAGCCCCTTACGTACACGCAATCATCGTGGCCATGACTTCCAGAAACGCGGGCTCGGTCCGTACACGCACTGTTGCGAGCGCGGTATACAACATGATGGTTCAGGCCTCTAGTATCATTGCTAGTCAGGTCAGTGAGATACTACCCCGCATCATTTTTCACTACTAACCCCCATGCAGATCTACCAAGACAAAGATAAGCCTTACTACCGTGTGGGTAATAAGGTTCTGATTGCCATCTCTGTGTTCAGCATGGCTTTATTCATTGGGGCCAAGTTTTATTACATCTGGCGCAACAAGTATGGCTCACCAATTCTCCGATAATAACGACTACAATGCTAACTGTGCTGGCTAGGTACAACGCTGCTCGTTGGAATGCCATGTCCAGCGAAGAGAGGGAGGAATATCTGGAAGCTAATAAGGATCTTGGAAACAAGCGGTGAGTCTCCCTTCGGCAAGATTGCCTGATAATCCGTCTAATTGATCGCCTTGCAGACTCGATTTCCGATTTACTCACTAGATGAGCACGATTAATGATTGATTATATTATATAACTGAAAAATTAGATGACAAACTGCATACATGGAAAAATGGTGGACGCCCCGCGGGATACCCTGAAGTCTATAGATTAGACGATAGAGCAAATTCATAATACAATACATCGCTCAAGTGATCATGAACCGTAAGGGACAAGCCTCATGCCTATTCCCCAATAACGTACTCGCATCCACTGTCTCCAATCCACACCTCATGCAACTTGCCTGCCGGAACATCCAGTCGTGCACCAACACCGAACGTCTCTTTTTTCACTTCCCCATTATGCAACTTGGCGTTATCATCCGGGTAAGTGATTGTCAAGCTCCCTTGGCGGATTAGATGTGTTGTGACACCGCCATGTGAGTGTGGTGGATAATGAGCGTTGCTAGGACAGTATTAGCATCAACGAGGACTTGGTTTATAATAATATATATGCATATTATAATATCTTGATCAAGACCCTAAGAGGTACACAGAACAACAACCATGGTTTCTGTCAACTCACCTTCCGTCCGCCCAAGTAAAGACGTGCTTGAAGCCCCAGTCCTTGACTAGACGTTCGCATTCTTTGCGCGTACCGATGGGATATGTTTCCGCCATTGCCCTTGCTCTAGTAATACGGTCCGCTTGGATGAGAATAATGTTTGAGGCAGAGAAATATTCTGGAAGCTGTATAGAAGTGTTGGTGATGCGGAGAATAGACAGCGATGACGTCGATGCGATTAGTAATTCGTGGCAGTTGAGATGCTTGTTGACGGTCACGTGGAGGGAGTGTCTTGTTGATTCTATTGGTCAATGGTGCTTTGAGTAGATTCACGACTGCCACTATGCGTTCTAGACGCATTGACCAACATAGTAATGGCCAACTGCGCCATTGAAAGTGTCAATTCTAGGGTGTTCTCTTTTCTCTAACACCATTAAAGATTTTACTTTTGCTGAAAGAAAAGAAGACCCAATTTCTCTGTTACAATACACGAGAGTCCCTCGTTACTTTATAGTGGCAGGCGCCCGAGAAGCGACTGACAACAAGATACACCATCAGCAAAGCAACGACTGGGGTCCGACAGATCTTTAAATGAAGCTTTCCAAAGGACAAGCCTTACCTCACCGAGATATGGCTTCTTACGCAAAAGCCTTACTAAGGCTGAAACAGTCGGAGAGAAGTCTATACCCGGACGAAATGCTACTGCAAGCGACATGGAATGGTATGGCGCGGTTCTCCCCCGAGGGCGTTAGATTAACGCTAGTCCACTTGGCCCACGCCAACACCTTAACTCCAGAACGCCAGGTGGGTCAAGCTTGATAGTGGAACACCCAGGATTTGATGAAGCTCCTCTTATCGCGGCCAACCCAAGGCGAATTAGAGCCAGCTGTATCTGGCTACTGAAGCTTCTCACCCGCCTCGATGGCTTCTAGGCCACCCCTACCCCCTGTCGATGACTGAGATGAAGGGCAGAGTTTCCCTTCTGGGAACTCGTCAGGAATTGGTGGGTTGGCTAATCCGGATGCATGATGCAGGGCCTCGAGTGATTAGATTGAAATATAACTCGTCCCTCGTCTTGAAATCCGTGCCAAAACTTTGCAAGAATCAAACCTCAAAGGAGAGACAGAGGACATCGAAGAAATGCCGGACAATATTGAACTCACAACCACCAAGGGTGGAAATAATATTTCCACTGTATTCGCTGATGAAGGGCTTGCCAAAGGTCATGTCGCTCAAAAGTATATCGGCACTATGGCCGACCAAAGGGATATGCAGGCTTTGGGAAAGGAACAAGTTCTCAGGGTTCGCTATCTTTATACTCAGTTGTAAGACTTTTTCTAATGGCGTTCCCAGAGGAATTTCCGGTTCATTTCAATCATCGCCTTTGGATGTACTCTAATTGCTTCATGGGAAGTCATGTTGACGTAAGTCATACTGTTTTCTAGGACTTTTTTATGATGCTGATACTGGGACAGCATGATGAGCTCGCCTCTGGTTGATGGTGGCACTGCTGGCTTCATCTGGGGATTTGTCGTGGTTTCGGTTGGTGTGTTGCTTCTGTTCGCCAGTTTGGCGGAGATGGCTTCCATGTGAGTGCACGCACTTCATCATGCAACTGTAGACCAGCTGATCGCTTCATAGGGCACCCACTGCTGGTGGCCAGTATCACTGGGTATCAGAGTTTGCACCGAGGAAGTACCAGAAGTTCTTGAGTTACATCACTGGTATGTATAGCTACCCGCTGAGGATGGCTGAGCCTAACAAGCCCGGTCGCATCTAGGATGGCTCTGTGCCACGGGCTGGGAATGCGCAATTGTGTCAATTGCTTTTCTGGCAGGTACCATCATCCAAGGACTAGTTATCCTCAATTACCCAGATTATGTTTCTGAGCGGTGGCACGGTACTCTCATTACAATCGCCATCACCCTTTTCTCCGTTCTCTTCAACACCTTCCTCGCCAAGAAGCTCCCTCTCGTTGAAGCCTTCATCTTGATCCTCCACGTTGCTGGGTTCTTCATTGTGATTATACCCCTGTGGGTTTTGGCACCCATCAAGGATGCAAAGTCAGTTTTCACCCAATTTACAAACGGTGGTGATTGGAATAGCAATGGTACTGCAACGATGGTTGGTCTAATCACTGCTATTACTGCCATGATTGGCTACGACTGCACTGTTCATATGTGTGAGTAAAGGCTCTGGCTCGATCATTTAGACATGCTAATACAGTACGCAGCCGAGGAAGTTCGAGACGCTTCGACGACCCTTCCCAAAGCTATCATGGCGGCGTGCTCCTTGAACGGGGTCTTGGCCTTTGTCGTTATGGTCACATTGTGTTTCACCTTAGGTGACGTGGATGAGGTCCTCGACTCCGCTACTGGGTATCCTTTCATTCAGGTCTTTTTCAACGCCACCAAGAGCTACGCAGCTACAAACGCAATGACTGCAATTGTGACCATGTCGCTTATTGCCAGTGTTATTACTGAGGTCGCTACTGCGTCGCGTCAACTTTGGTCATTCGCCCGTGATGGGGGCGTCCCACTGGCTAGCTTTTTCGGTCATGTAAGGGTTCCCACCTCTTGATTAGTTTCAGCTTTAATATACCAGTACTGATGGGCAACAGGTCAATCCCAATTGGAACATCCCCCTCAACGCTGTTCTGGTGTCCCTCGTGCTTACGATGCTGCTATCACTCATCAACATCGGCTCGACTGTCGCCCTGGATGCATTGATTACCCTCACTGTCGGAGCATTGTTGAATTCCTACATCGTCACTGTTTCCTGTGTCGCATGGAAAAGAATTCGCGGGGAACCATTACCCCCACATCGGTGGTCACTAGGCCGATGGGGACTTTGGGTAAACCTCGGGGCCCTGGCTTTCCTCATCCCGGAGTTCGTTTTCGTTATGTTCCCCCTTTACTCGACTGTGGATCCCGAGAACATGAACTGGAGCTCACTCATGTATGGCGGCATGTTGATTTTTTCCATCATCTACTATGCGTTGTACGGGCGGAAAACTTATGTGCCGCCCGTGGCCCTGGTCAAGCGCGAAATCTGATTTGGCCGTTCATCGGTTGGAGTCGTTATTGCTGCTGCATGGACACGCCACCTCTTTCCGTTTTCATGATCCTGGCGCAGTAACAGGTCGACGTTGGCGGTCTCCACCGCACCGGCCTATCGCCTGCATCAGTGTCGCAAGTGCCTGCGCATTCGTCGCTGGCGTAATGGAGCCCGAACTATGTTTATTGGCGAGTAGTATGGAGGATGGCCAGAATGCTATTCCTTCCTGACTTCTGCCCACAGTGGGGTTGAAATCGAAAAGTTTTCTTTCTACCGTATGGTTTGATTCAACCGCTGGTAATACTACAAAACTCAAATGACAGGTTCTGATTACATCTGGATTCTAATCTCAATTTCATATATCTCGGCGATGGCCCGGCCGGATCTTGTTCGCCAGATGATCCCGCCACGGCCCACCGGAACAACACCGGGAGCTTACCAGCGCTTCTCTCACGAACCCTAACTAATCCGGGCAAGTCCCCCGACGATCAACGGGAACGCCGCTGCGGACACATTCCCCGGAGCGTTCCTTGTGGATCCGGAGGATGCCCGCTCCTGTTTGGTATCACGCCAATGAGCACTACGTTTATGAAGCCAGGCAGTAAGCTTGTTAGTGATCTTGAGCTGTTATATCCCCGAGGCCAGCACCTTTCATTTGCGCTGGTCACAATAAAATCATGTTCAGCTTCTTCGAAAGAACACTCGGTATAAACACTAGCACGGATAGTGGCAGTCTAGTCAGGCTAAGGGGTAGCTAGTCTGCCATGGTTTGAGACGGATGCGACATGATTGCGTGTTACAATCATACTAAACTCTAGGGTAGTATGATCCCTGCAAGTGCTTCCTTCTCCGTTATTAACTTTTCTTTGTAAAGGGTCGGGTTTAGCTACTCGCAACGCTACTCCGGAGTACAGGGGCTTTGGATTCCGAATATCAGCCGTAATGAAAAGGCACCGTTCGTTTCTCTCAACCGGCCATTATATGAGGCTGGACCACAAATCCTTTCAGGAGCTCCAGCTGAGCCTTTTGTACTATCACTCTGGCCAATGATAGGTCTCAATTACTCGCACACTGGAGTCAGATCCCTGATAACCTATCTGACCAGGCCACCATAGTCTTGAGCCGGAAGAGATGGCACTATGGCGTTCGCTTCGGAACATACCTCAAGCCTGCATACAGGCCAGTTTATCTACCGGTCTTTATATTTGGGAGACCACGCATTAGGGGATCTTAACCTGATCTCTTGATTTCCCCAAGGGCACCGGACGATAAGCGACTCACGGTCGCTTGCTGAGCCTCTGGGTGGCTCCCGGTCATGACGGCATCTGGGAAGCCCCTTGTGGTCACTGACGAGAGTCACCATGCCGGCATTGTCATTGTTGTTGGGACTTTGGCCCTGATAATGACATTGATCTGCTTGGCTATCCGTGTGTATGTCAGAACAATACTGAGCCCGGGGTTTGGACGAGATGACTACCTATTATTTGTTGCTACGGTAAGTTCCAACGTTGTCTCCTGTGATACAACTTCAAAATTGATACTAACTACAGCGTTATGGATAGTCTTTCGCCATTATTCAGACCTCACTCGTCATGTCAAACTCTGCCAAAGGGTTCGGGACATCTATAAGCCTTCTTTCTTCAGATCAGGTCGTGAACGTTCAGCGGGTACGTTGTTCAGAATCTGGACCGTGGCACAAATTAATCAGAAATCATGTCCATGCAGACGATGGCTACTACAGATACTTTGTTCTTGATTACCGCGTTCCTGTCCAAGTGCTGTGTGCTTGGGATGCTCTCGCGGCTAACTCCCCAGCGCATTCACCATTTCATTCTTTACGCGATACTTGGCTTGAGTATCTGTTGGGTTCTCTCTTCAGTCCTGATCATCCTTGTCAACTGCGAATTGAACAAACCATGGGCAAGACCCATAGACCACTGCACTGGTTTGGTAATTAATCCTCTTGCCCCATATCCCTACAGTTACACTGACCACACCTCACCAGTTCCAAAAATGGGAATACATCGGTGCAACGGACAGCATCATTGAGCTCATGCTCTTCCTATTCTCGATCCTCCTAGTCAAAAGCCTGCAAATGCCAACATCTCGAAAAATTATCGTCCTCTCTTCTTTCGCCGTTCGTTTACCGTAAGCAGTACCCATAACCCACAAACACCACCCTTCTGACCCCATTACCTACACTAGTCTCATTATATTCACCTCTCTACATCTATACCATCTCAAGAACTATGCCTACTCCACGAACCCAACCCTAGACATCATCGACAGCTACGTCTGGACCCAAATGGGCATGAACTACTCCCTCATCGTATGCACCTCCTTCTGCCTCGCCCCCTTCATGCGCGCCATCAGCGTCACCTACGGCAACGCAGGCGAAGTCACCCTCGGCACCAGCAGCGCTAGATCTAAGTCAGGCAAATACGCCCGGGATGTATCGAAACAACAATCACAGAGCTACGCCTTGCAGTCGATGGATAATCAGGATGAGGCAGGCCACGGCTTGAACAACCCACGACGCTCGCAGCCGACCTTCGTGCCGGAGCAATCGGCTGGCATTTTCAACGCTACTGTGTCCGATGGATGTAGTCGAAGAACGGATGGGGATAGCGTGGCTAGTTCGGAGAGCACGAAGATGATTATTAAGAAAGATGTCGAGGTCACTATTACTCATGAGCCGAGATAGTAGTTATATAAAAGTTCTTTTTCTTTTGTTGGGGTGGTGGTGGTCGTAAGTCGTAGACATACATTCGATTTCTGGTCTACTTTCTACTGGGCATTGCCTTCTATCAGGGAAACTTTGATAGTAAGTGACAGTGAGTATTTTTTATCGAACACGATTGCTGTGAGTGTTGAAGGTCGATTCGTCTGATGTTATGTCTTATATGTTCTTGTTGGAGGATGCATCTGCACTGGAGGCTGAGGGCCTGAGGCAATAATAGGTGTCCTGGGCGCAGTTCTGCTGGGCCTATCCGAAGTTACTTGTTCCTTTTCATGAAGGAAGTAGGGTAAGATGAAATCCGAGATCTGAGAGATGGAGTAGTATATTTTGGTAGGTAGATATTACTTCACATGAGAATGGAAATAGTAGTGTTTATAATACATCAGTAGTTTTTTTCAGTGACAGCGTTCGCTCATCAAAGATGTCAATACATAGTAGGTTAGTTATATGCCATATGCCTGTTCTGAGTGTGCCAAATTGTGTCTGGCAGCGGTGGAGGAGGGTGAGATCTGGTTCCACTGGGAGAGAGAGAGAGATACGCGACGTTGATGCTCCACCTGTTTTGCTAGATGTGCTGCCGCTCTGATCCTATTACAGCATTTATCATGCTTGTAGTGAGTCCTGGTTCTGACCTCAGTGAGCAGTGTTTACCCCGAGTCGCAACATGTTAAACTCGAACATCTCATCAGACTTGTGAGACGATAGGTATAGATCAAGCCTCCGGAAGTCCCTTGCTAGGGTCCTGCTTCTGACCCTTCCAGCCGATATACGGCCATCCCTTGGGAAGAGAAGAGTATGGCGGGAGAACATAGCGGCCAGCGCAGTCTCCCTCCGTCGGACAATCCAAATTGCATAGTCCGAATACCTTGCAGTAGCATTCTTCTGCCGTGGGACAGTAGACGGGGCCCTTGCCGAAGATCACTGTAGGAGTTAGTCAATTTCCCTTATCGTTGGGATAAGTGTGGGACATACTGTGCCATGAGTATTCCATGATCCGTCCACTGAGATCATCGGGTAGCGTCGTCTCAGCCAACCATTTGCGGTACCGCACATAGTCACTCTTAGGCCGCTCGCGGATCTTCCAGCGTGTGACGGCGAATTGCGCGCAGCATGACACCCCCACTTCTTCAGGGACCTCCGCGCCGGGAAACAGTTCCATGAATCCTGTCTTGAAGTACTCGCCTGCGTGGACGTCGTTGCGATGCGTATCACTGAGGGGATGAATCTCCGCCGGACAGCCCAGGACCCAGGCGCAGCGCAGATTCACGTAGCCTTGTTTTTGGAGATATGGGACCTGGAAGTTGCGAAGAACGGGCACACCATCGTAGTAAGGGTCGTCGTTGTGCCATTGGTATCGTTGGGAATGGATGAAAAGAATCGAGTCGGGAAGATTGTCGTAATTATCGATTATATATCTGCAGCAGTGAGTTGGTGCGCCCAGAACCGGCCAAGACACAGAGGAGACTACTCACGTCAGATACACCATCGATTCCCTCCCCTTATTCAAAGCCACCGTCAACGGCGCTTTCTTGTCGTCCGCCACGTAGATGCTTTTGTGCCACTCAGGAAAGTATGTGTACAGCCATGAGACATCGTCTCCCTTCATACTAGCCACCACCATGTCCTTGTCCAAGGCCTGGGGCTGTCGCGAAGCCGAGGCGGACGGGGAAGCCTTCCCCGACCGCGAGTCCCGATGCGGGCCTCCCTTCACCGCATCCTCAGCAGACGTCTCTGACCGTTTGGGATCGGAGCTCCCAGCGAAGAAGAGGAAGTATAGAGCGTAGATGATGAGAATGGTGCAGAAGATTGCTTTTTCTTGGTTGCGCCGGCGCGGACTGTTAACTCCGCCGCGGAAGAATAGCATGGCTGGCAATGGCGGCGGCGGGACTGGCACGAAGCGGGGAAACTGTGATCATATGCTGCTGGATGTATGTATGTATGTCACGGAAGTCAATTGAGCGTCAAATCAGCGTGACGGGGCAGGGAACATGGCTGCACGGTTGGACGATCGCAGACGGTCGGGGGTCGGTGAGGTCGATGCGGGCGGCGGTTCGAGGGAGTTGACCGACTCGGGGAGATTTTGCGGTGGCGCAGGATGAGGGTGAAACGTCGGCCGTCGGATGAAATAATATAGGAGAACCACGGAGGCCCCGGAGGCGATAGTTGTTGCAACCCGGGGATGCGACAGCTGGCAGGATGGGAGTTGTGGTGGACGAAAGTAAGGAGAGGAAAGATGATTGATGGCCGCAACTGCAAGTGGAGGAACAGCGCCTCCACACGTGCTTTATCTGCTACGTAATAAGATCTCACTGTGTTTCTTCTTTCACCACCATCACCACCACTGGGTTGCTCTGATTATATACTAATTACTATGTACACTTCTCCCGTCCACTAATCTGACAGTCGGTCTAGTTATAGCAGGCACTCGGAAATCGCGAAAAAGTACCACAAGTGAGCCAGAACGCTCACCGTTGCTTCGCCTGCATTTCCCGCCGTTGAATTGATTCCCTCGATGACTTCAATATCCGACGCCGTGACACTGGCTCCATTGCCACTGGTGATCCAGTATTCCGGACTTGGCTGACTGAATCCAAAGTCCATGGGTGGCACCCGGGGGACGATGTCGTTCAAGTGTGTAACACGGAAGTTGGCCCCAGATCCCTGACTGGTGATATGCTCAGCCAGCGCATAGTTTCCGATTCGAGGACATCCGTAGGTGTACTATTGACTGTCAGAACCCGATTGTCGCTCCATCACCTTTGTGAAGGACTCACCAGCTCAACGCTATACCCGTCATTTCGCAAAACTGTCGCTCCCAGCGTAGCCAATGCGCCGCCCAAACTGTGCCCGGTGAAGTATAGGGTATAGCCCGAATACGTGCTCATCGCAGACTTGATCTTGCTCGTCAGTTCGTCGGCAGCGGACTCCCATGCCTTCCAGAAACCAGTATGGACCTTGCAGCCGGTGCAGAGGTCGTCGTTATCTTCCAGGATGAAGTCAAGATTAGCAATCCAGTTCTCAATCGTGCTGCTTCCCCGGAAGGCGACCACGAGCCGCTTGTTGGTGTTGTCCGCGGCCAGGAAACCGGCTGTGCCTCCAAAGTCGTTCGTCCTGTTCAATTAGCTGTGCTCTATGTCTGCGATCTGAGTGACATACAGGTCGAACTCCAGCAGCATTGTGGTACTGGCCTCCTCGACTGATGGACAGGCGTTGGCCGTGCATGTCAAGTTGGAGTCTTTCGAGTCGATATTATTCGAGCAATAAGCTGCGGCAGACCATTGCGCGAACAGTTGCAACTCATCCAACGTGGAAGTCGAGACACCTATTCACACCTTCATCAGTGCTATCCAACCATCTCAAATCGGGCACACCTACTCCGCACAGCAAGCGGTGCCGGCGCGGCAGCACCCAGCGCAGCAAGCGCTGTCAAAAGCACTCCAAACCGTCCAGAGAACATCTTGCGGTATACAAACAATCGAGGCGACCAAAACCTTGCGACCAACGGGCTTCTGCAATGCACACACACACACTGCCTCAATCCAACTGCACCTCCGATCTCCCTTTTATACCCATATCATATTACCCACCGCGATTCCCCATCAGGGGCCTCAGGGGGGAAAAAGCAAGAAGCGGGGTAAGTCAGACAACAATATTCACCCAAAGAGCACTGTCACGATAGCAGATGAAGCCAGCCATGCAATCAGGCACCGTATCTCCTCATCCGCATCCTTTGTTCCGGGTCGGCGGTTGTCCGTTGCGCAACTGGGGTTGCCAGTTTGGCCCCATCTCCATCCGGAGCGGAAGCCCGGTGGGGATTAACGGGCTGCTATAGCAGCCCGTAGACAAGCATAGTCTGCTCCGAAAAGTTAAATAAAGTAGATGTTGTCTGAGGATGGGCGGTGTCGAAGGATCTACTGGCGGAGAAACGTGGAGGGCGTGGTACTGCACATGAGCAGTAGATTGAGATGGAGATGGAGATTGGGGATACGGCCATGACATGTGCACAGGCCGAGGTAAGTAGACCGAATCGAAGAGCAAGTAATCGGGAAATCGTGTTACGAAATCTGAGACTTCTTCACATGCTGTTACTGTTGCTGTTGCTTGTCAAGGGTTGTGGTTCGTGACATGCAAGTAACTAGTGGAGTTAGTGACTTCTTGTCACTTTGCCGATCACTTGCAGCGCTTATACTCATTCAGACTATGATACATACACACATACTATAGATGGGGGAAAAGCACACAAACAATCTATGTATGTTACGAAAAACTAAACATGTCCACGTGCCCATAATCAATACCATACTATCGAATAAGTAAGTAACTTTGAGAAAAAAAATAAAAAGAAAAGAAAAGAAAAATGAAAATACCTCAACTCACTATTGAAACAATACTCATCCCTTATTCCCGGCCCCCAATACTACCTTACCTTCCCAAGAACTCTCACAGTTTTAGGATAGTAATACAACAATAACCTAGTTATAGTAAGAACATCTCCTATTACCTAACCAAGTCTACCACGTAGTAACTACTCAACTACTAAGTCAATCCATTACCTACCTACCTGAAAATATTACTCATTCACCTAAAACTAATCTCCTCACTTTCATCCCGGCACTTACACCACCCACACAGCACTAGGTATTTACTTTGGCAGCCTAAATAACGAACTAGTTAATTAGTCCCGCTGCCTTACGAGTCCCCTAGTCCACAACCACCACCAACAAACGTCCGGGCTTCCCGGGCTGCGGGGTGCAGCCTTAGTATCCCGTACTATAAACCCCGGGGTAAGTTAACTAGTTAGTTAGTTTAGGGGACGGGAAGACGGTGAGGTGACTCCCTTCACTTCATAATATTATTAGTTAGTTAACTAACTACCTTGCAGAGTTTGTTAGTCTGTTTGCCGGCTTACTTGGGTAACCCCACTTTCTCCCTTCCTTCCTTTCTTCCAATCCATACCGTGTGTGTGCGTGTTGGTTGGGATTGAAGGATTCTTCAGACTTTTTGGTAGTCCGGCTTGTGATCTGCAGTCTTTAGTGTCGGGGTGGTATGGCAGGT